TAGATAAGCCGCTTATGTCTGTAATTTACAGTAAGTATGTCACTGAAAGGGCTCCAAATTCTATCTTACAAACTTGACTGAACTGTGTATTAAAACAGTAACATTTACACTCAAAGTACTCCTCTCTTATGCTTCCTTATTAGGTCAAGGAGAGTGGATCTATTAAGCTAAATGTAATACACTATCTGAATGGACTTAGCGCCTTGTCTTACAGTGGCTTAGATCCTGGTTGGCTTAAGACAGGGCAGGGATGATGACGTGGTTAAAGGTTCTGAATTATAGATTATAGTGTGTCAGTGTACTGAACAGTTGCATGTGAGCGTGCATACGGTATTGTATTGCAGAAGTGTGCACAGCTGCTCAGTGGACTCAGGGAGTTTCCCTGATACATAGGAGAGCTTTTAACAGAAACATCCTGTAGTTAAAACCACAGGGTGCTCCAGAGTTGTAAACAATGCATGTAAACACAAACGCTATTGGGCGCAATATACATTATGTCAGAATCAGAATAGGAATCAGTAATACTTTATTTTACTTTTCTTTGTTACAATTGCTCACTTGAACATTAGGTTATTATTATGTATCACCATGTGTCGCCATAATAATGACAATAAAATATCAAAATATGTCATACTTTCAGTAGATGTGGACAATTTAGCAATATATTATGTTATAACTAGGGCTGCAATTAGTCATTAGTCAATCAGTTATTTTCTTTATCAAGTAATCTGGTGATTGGTCAATACAAAATGTCAGAAAATGGCAAAAATGTCCATCAAAAAGACAAAAATAATCAGCAAATTCTAACAAAATCACAAGCTATAACCAGGGTAGGATCTGCATTTTTGCCTATTAATTGAACTATAAATTAATTAATAGAGTATTTGATTGATTAATTTTCTGTTGATCAACTAATCAATTAATTGTTTCAGATTGAACCATAATATTGTATTATACGCAGGTTAAAATACTGCTTGTCCTGACATCAAGTGCTGCACTATACATGTTGTGAACAAACCACACCAGTGCAGCGCTTTCCTCCATACTTTATTTATTGTGGAGTTGCCCTATAAATCAGGTGTTTTCTTCGTTTTAAAGGTTTTCTGAGTTTTCAGAGCGTTCTGGCTGAATAAAATGAACAATAAATGCCTTTTACTTTTTGTTCATCATGCCCACATTACTAATATCCGTGTCTCAACCTGTTCTTGTATGTAAATACTGCAGCTTCTAAATATTATTCCCAAAAGTCACATTATTAACACTCAGGCTAAGGTTGATTATTTCAAAAATATTGTGATATTACATCCCCAGTGTCTCAGTTACTAAATTGAACAGGGTTTGTTTATCTGTTTGTTTTCAGCTATTTTGCAATCAATGTATGTTTTATCAGTGCAGAGACCTCCTGAGAGCTCAGACAATTACACAGCACCACTGCAGGCAGTATTATGGGTGTCAGCAAGGAGCAACACGGTGCCATGACTAATGATGGAAACAAGCACTCCCTGTTGCTATCTGAACATAAGGTTAATCAGACATTTTGAATCTAGTATATTTAGTTAAGATAAAGCCCTGCCAATGCCAACAGAGGTTTCAAAGTTTAAACCAGTAAATGTTGTTATTTTGGGACCTTTGGCTTTTGTGTATAAGCTGGTGTAAGATAGTTGTGATTGGTTTGTGACCATACAATAGAGCTGTAGATGGTTTCTTGTATGGATTTGATATCCTCGTCTAATTACCATCATTATCATTGTGGTAATTGGATGTTCAAGAATTTATGTTACAAACACAGTCCTGTGGGATGACCTCAATCCTCTGCATTGGAGATAGTCACTACGGTCAAATTGACAGGGTGATCTAACACATTTCCTGATTGTACACAGAGTTCAGTGCCTGTACAAAGATGTAGGGTTTCAACTATAGACTGCATAAAAACCGTGGACACAGCCACCATGTCGGAGGGCTGTGCGATATGACAATATATATTGTTTGACGATAGAAAAACATCTATTGTTTACAATTATGCTCTGTCCATTAATTTGTTGTGTCGCAAATTCTACACTTTACTATAATATTTCTGCAAGGGGATGACGCTTTGCACCGTGGTGAAGTTAGTTTTAAGTTCAAGATTCAACAGACGTCTGTCCAATATCCGATGTAAAATTAACAGACAGCTTAAAACTAGCTTCACTGCGGTCTGTTCTTCCACAGTTTCCGGTGTACAGGGAAGAAATTTGCATTCAGAATAAAAAAACATGGAGGAGCTCCAAAGTGAGTAATACTGAACTGGACTCAGATCATGCAAGCCAAAACAAGGACCTCATACCTAAGAGAGGAGTCTGTTGTAGGGACGAGCCACACAACACTTTTCTAGCAGTTTCAGCCAGGATTTCTGTGTCAGGTTACGTGAAATGACTAACCCACAACTTAGCTGACATTAGTTACATTACTTGCTGTGTCGTTGTTCACTATATATCATTATTTGTCATGGTATTGGAATTTGACGCAGAGAAATAGTAGTTACGGTTGGAAATTCATGATACATTGTATTTTACAAAAAATGTTATCTGTGTCTCTATATGTGTCATTATTGGGAAATGAAATGACCTATATCGGGATATGAAATTTTAGTCATATCGCACAGCCCTATCGTGACATCGCTGATTGGTATGTGGATTACCGTTTTGAAGACTGTAGTTTGGCATTTTGGCCGTGGCCATCTTGGTATTTGGAGAAGAAGTGACCGGACATCACCGTATTTGGACGAGAGGGTTGAGCTAGCTAGCTTGGTTAGCAAAGTGCATCCGTGATTCATGTTAATGCTAATTTTGGCTAGCGAAAAACAGGCTCAAATCTAAATTGACTTATCGGGGAAAATTAACAGCTGATTCCTGAGAGCGTCTTTTAGTACAACTGACCTCTGAAGACATTTTTAGGCGACCAAAATGTTACAGTTAACTGTGAAAGGGTCAAAGTACTTAGACAAAAACACTTAGAGCACCCAAAAACAAGTTCATGGCTAGTTTAATGCAGTAGTGCAATTCAACTCTATCCTGATTGACAGGTCGCCCCAGTATTGTTTAATTTCCTCTAAATGGGACCATAATTAACTAAATGAATATCGTGCTGTATCAAAAAAGACTCCAGTGAGTGAGACCAGAAATTCACAAGGAAAGTGTTCTCTGAGTTAATAAATCAAGTGAGAAGTAGAATTGTTAAGTCCAAAGCAATCGAACTTCTTTTTGCAACCAGGGGATTCGCCCCCTGCTGGACATTTGAAAGAATACCGGTTTCAGGCTATTCCGCATTTGCTTCACTTTTTAGACCCGGAGGTTACTGCTTGGTTGAAACCAAAGATTATTTTCATTATTGATTAATCATAAAATATCAGAAAACAGTGAAAAATGCTTGTAAATGCCTGTGAAAATATTTCATCATCATCATCAGATGTCTTGTTTTTGCCTGAGCAACAGTCATAAACTCTATCCAATTTACTTTACTGTAAGACAAAGAAAAGCAGCCAGTTCTCCCAGTTGAAAAGCTGGAACTTACAAAATTTGGGTAAAATTACCTAAATGGCTTATCGAATATCTAAATAGTTAATTCGTTCACTCATTCATTTGCTGTAGAACAGGGGTATTCAATTAGATTTCAAAGAGGTCCAGTCAGAGAAAATTTACCGAAGCAAAGGTCCGGAAAATCAAAACGACTAACTTGCGTTATCATTCAGTAACATAACGTATAGTTGTATCAACATATGTTTTTAGTCAACAACGGACTGTCAAATCAAATTATGTTTCAAGAATATTTACTGTCAGTTTTCACATCAAACTGGAGGGATAATAAATAAAAACTACTCTAATAATAAATTCTAAATTTAAATTAACTAAAATAAAGTGCTTTTTAGAGAAAATGAAATAAAAAGTGTAGCTTGAAGTGTAGTCTTAACCAATTTTATAATAAACACTCAACACATCAAATGAATAGCTGTAATGCCTCGTCTTCTCTTTCATTCCCTCTTATAAACCTCTTTCCTACTTTCTGTTGTTCAGTGAGAAACTTGAGCTCTAGTTAGTCCTGACAGCTAGCATTGGAGATCTATGAGATAATCTGGTTTTGAACTGCCCGTGGGAGGAATGTACATGTAAAAATCTGTACATTCTTGATTAAAAGCCATGTGAAATCTCTTTCCCCTTTTGTCTCCTCAATTCGTGTGTTTCCAAAATGTCTCTGGTGAATCTCCCGGACTCGACTCGCAAGCATCGGAATGCACAGATTTGATTGGCTGAGCAGCATCACATGAGACGATTGGAGCACATGCGATTGGTCTGTGAGTTTCCTGGGCCACTAAACCAGTACAGTAAATGCTACAAAAGCTGCGCGGGTTAAAACAGAAACGCTCCATCACGAGGTAGTAATTCTCAATAATAAATCAGCTGTAGGTCGGCAGTCTGGACAGGACAGCGGCTGGGTCCGGATCCGGACCACGGTCCGCCTATTAGTGACCTCTGCTGTAGATCAACTAACTGAAGTTGGTGGGCGGCGCACAGTTAGTCAGTACAGGTTACAGCTGAAATGATGAGTCCATTACTCGATTCATCACTCAACATAAAAATAATCAGCAACTACTTTGTTAATTGTTTCAGTCATTTATCAAGCAAAACTAATTTTAAGAAAATTGATACAATTTCTCAGGTTTCTGTTTCTCAAATGGGATGATTTTCTGCACCAATCTCATAGCAAATATAATGCAACCTCTGCTTCAAAGAATAGCTCAGGGCTCGACTGAGCATCTGTCATTTACATTAACATTGATATTGATGGAGGATAGTTCTGAAAGCCTAGGAGAGGCTCATTTCTTCAAGGACTAAACTAGACTAAGCATTGTTTGATTAGTAACAGTGTGACGTTGTGTCAAGTATAAACAACAGTTCTGCAATGGAATGGGGAAGGAGAAGTAGATAGATGCCATAGTAAAACTTCCTGACCCATTTGTTTTTCAGATGAACTGAAAGCAGTGAGTGTGAGAGCGTGTCAGAGGATGTTCCTGATCTGCGGAGCCCAGTGTTGAGGAAGGTCAACGGAGCCCAACCGGCGCTCACCATGTCTCACCACCAACATTACCATCGAGGCCCCCATAGCCGCACCATGAGCTCTGAGGAGAGGAGCTCCACGCCAGTCAACAAGACCTCCACACCGGTTCACAAGAGCGCCTCCTCCTCTTCCTCCTCCCAGCGCGACAGCCGGCAGGTAATTGCCAGGGCATGGGAGGAATCCATCTAATTGTAGTTTCAAGTGATAGCTGCTTTAAATGAATATGACTTGAGCAGAGGCAATATAGGGAGGAGAGAATATTATTTTGGGTTGCTGCAGTCTTATGTCAGTGCCATCCTCTTGTGAGACAGTTTATGCAACAGGATAACAGACAGATAGAAGGGAAATGGGCCTGTCAGGAAATATTTCAGCAGTTTTAGTGTGAAACAAAAACAGTCAAAAGTATTATGTGATGACCTAGTCAGTTTTTAAAAAAGCAGCTGCCAGCATCACCATTTGAAGTTAAATCAGTGGAGCTGTCCCAGTTTTTCTCCACAGACCCTGCGTGTGTTTTGTGTGTGCAGTTAGTGGATTCCTTGTACGGCTGCCCTTGACTAAATTCTTTCTTTGTTGACTAAAGCAGTACAGATACTGTATGTTTTTAATCTTGTTTTAATCTGCCTCTCTGCACAGCAAAACACATAGCCTCTGTGCTTACGCTGTACAGACTGACCGGTCAGAACGTGGTTCAAACAAGATGACTGCATCCTCTCCAATCTTGCTAAAAACAGAAATGCAGCATTACATCATAAATTCTACTGTTAACTCAAAGCAGGATGAAAAAAGACATTATTATTATTATTATTATTATTATTATTATTATTATTATATTGACAGATGGCTGTTGAAGTTTCAGACTATATCTTTTGCCAGTCCTGCAGTGAAGGTCAGTTTTATTTCTCTCACAGCACAGTCTCAGTCAAGACTTCGGTAGTCACACCAATATTGCTCCAAAATTTCAGACATGCCAGAAATCCATCTAATTGTCCAATAGGCAGATTATTGATCTTTATGGCAAATAATCAGGTGTTGTGACCCCTCTAAAATTGAACAACAAGCAATCTGGCAAAAATTCATGGGATTCCTTCAACTAATTGATAAGTTAAATTTGCCAAATTGGTTCTCTGTTTTCCCTCTGCATATGAATTCAGGCATACAGAACAATCTCCTCTGACAATGACTAATGATTAATACTTTATTCCCTGTGAAAAGTCCATTAGTAAAAAGACTAATTAACTATCCACCCTACAAAACCTTATCAACTCACTAGATGACTAATCAGCCAAGGCAGGGCAGCCCTAACTCCCTGGTTAGTAATGAAAAACCTTGCAGAGGCATGGCAAACAATGAGATACACTCTTATTTCACAGTTCACAGGACAAGTGCTTAAACTTAACCCTGGCAGTGAGCCACCTGAAGCCATCAGCCCTCTTTACCTCACTGAGCTGCTGTGTCACTCTGGCCGCACAGAAACAGGACACTGAAACTGGAATCTCTGACATCACAGCTTTTCCGTCTGCACTGAAGGATGAATATTTCATTCAGGGACAGGCGTAGGTCTGGTGCTCCACTGAACATGTGGCACACTATGGTATGCTGTGTGGGAGACCAGCTTGTGTCTGTGGGAGATGGCTCTGTGAGCAGAAAAGGGAGTTGTTTGAAAAATGCGGCCTGTTTGAAGCACGCAGACGATGGCCTGCTGCTTGATGATGCAGGCAGTTAATCCTTACAACTCTTCTGTTCATTGTTCCTTTCTTTCATGTCGCGTACTTGCTTCTGATAACAGTGCCTTCATGGGTGAAAAGGTTCAACCCATTTCCCAGATGCTTCATAATCTTAAAGCCAGCTTAATCTGAGAGCAAGGTTATCTGTTGGCACTTCTCTTATTCATCTCTTTTAGTGTGTTTAATGAAGTTAGGTACCAGCCAAAGAGGCAGCCACCAAGATAGCAACAAATGAAGTCTTTGTCTAGTAGATTCCCTTGATGTTGTACACCTGCTTTATCAAGACCTCAATATAGTCATCAGCAAATTGAAAGAATCAGCAGCACATCAAGAATTTAACTGGGAATTAGTTCTTGATTGTTGCAGCTGTTTTGTGTTATGACTTAGCAGTATTAGCTAAATGATGCCATGGAGTACCTGTGGGTGATGCAGACACTTGATGTATCATCTACAAAGGCAGGTGTGTTGTTCAAAAACACAGTTAGAGTTACTCTTTTGTTCTAACAGTTTTAGCTCATAGCCATTATAAAAATTAAGGAAAGAACATGTCTCAGTACATTTTACAGTATACCCGCGGGGTCTTAAAAGTATTTAAAAAAGTCTTAAATTTCATATTCCAAAAATAACGCCTTAAAAGTCTTAAATGTCATTTACAAAGTATTAAATTTCATTTACCAAGGTCTTAAATTTTTTCATGTCCTTTCGTAGAATTTAATTAATGCCGTAACGTCATAAATTAATACTTTGTGTGCGTGTGACTTTATTATATACTCCGTTTGGTGTGACTCTGATGTTATGCGGCAGTACAGGTAACGTTACTGTTTACGTCAGTGTTCAGCTTTACGCTCTGAACTGTGAAGTGTTCGCGGTGCACGAGCTCTGGAATCCAAACTCTGGTGCGAATCAGTCAGTTGTTAGAAAAGGAAAGAAAACGTCTCTGACGTGTTACTAACGTTAGCTCAACGACTCAGAATGGGCAAGTGAAATTCAGAAAGCCAGAGATACGAACAAGTTGGCGGCCGAGGATGAGGGCAGTGGCGCTGGGGTTAGCGCACAAAGCTGAACGGCGTGCGAGCCGGTCACACTGTGGCGAGCACTAATGGAAAAGCAGAGCTGGAAGACGTGCTGAATGTTACTGGTCAGTGAAAGTTACAACAGCAACGAAGAGGCAGGTGTGTATGAGACGAGGACCATGTCTGTGTGTCAGCGTTGCGCCGCTGTTGTAGGATAACGTTATAGGAATGGAAACATCAAACTAATGCACATTAAACGATCACCAGAACAAAAACAAACCGAAGCCCAACTCCTTATCCCCGCTGCTTTCAAGCCAATATTGTATGATACTATATTTCAAGCAGCCTTTAGATGGTTTAGAAAAACAGAACAGGATGAATAATGACTGAAGCTATTGGCATATTATATTACATTAACTTATCTAGCTAAGGTGTAACTAATTGCAACAACTCATTCTACACAATTTGTTTGTATTTTTGATTTCACGCATTTCATGGGTGTCATTTACGCTGGGGATACTGGGGACCATCACTTTTTTTTAAACCATTTGTTAAATATGTTCTGAAAGATGGCTTGCAACAAGAAATGTTAAAAAAAAACTAATGAAAATACTTTGAGAAAGGTTTATTTGCACAATAAGAAAACATGCAATGCAATTTAAAGATAAAAGAAACAAATCTGAATCACTTTATTTAAATAAAGATAATTCTACCATAAATTGGTGCAGAAAATGACTCTAGAATGCAGGAAATTAAGTGTTTAGTGCTCAAAATTTTCTAGGGGACCCCCAGACTCCCATTTAAATATATTTCAGCATTGAATATTTCATCAAATAGTGTTACAATATCTTCTTGTCTTGTTCTCGTGAAGCAATATTGTGAATTGTTCATGTGAGCTAAGTGTATCGTCACACCCCTAATCTGAACCCTTGCCCGCGCCATTTTTCAACACAAAGTGACGTCCTTGATTCATTTTATCTTATCAAAGTACAAACACACCCCAAGCTATAGTATGTTAAATATGAATATATTATAATAAAATGTTTTATTAAATTCATGTAACTTCGTTAGGCTTAAAATTAATACAGATTTTCTATTAAACAGCAGTAAAGTTGGTATTAAATTTCATCCTAGGTGGTATTAAAAAGGTCTTAAAAAGTCTTAAATTTAACTTTGAGAATCCTGGGGGTACCCTGTTTTAAGAAACGGAACGAAAGTATGTTTAGCCTCCATAATGTGACATATTCCCAAGTGAAACAGTGGGTGTTGCAGGGTTTAGTTATGTACTTTAATGAATACACTACAAAACAGCGCTGCAGAGGACTCCAATCAAATCCAGTCCAACGTTATTTATAAAGCACATTTAAAAACAACCATGTTGACCAAAGTGCTGTACATTGACATCAATCAATCAATCAATCAATAAATAAAAAGCAAATACGATCATGTAATAGCAAGCTAGCATTTGAAGCGCTTAAAAACAACCTTGAGAGTCTTAAAATCAGTCCTAAAATGAACTGGGAGCCAGTGAAGGGAGGCAAGAACAGGGTTGATGTGGTCTCGCTTACGAGTTCCAATAAGGAGACGAGCAGCTGCATTTTAAACCAGTTGTAGTCAAGAGAGGGAGGCCTGGCAAACACCTGCATTTCAATAATCAAGGCGTGTTGTGATAAATGCATGTAAAACCCTCTTGAAATCGGTGAAGGATAAAAAGGTCTTTAGCTTAGTAAGAAGCCTAAGTGGAAAGAAACCAGCTTTTACAACAGAATTGATCCAGTTTAAAATCTTTTAAATCAATTTTAACGCTAAGGTTTTTTTTTAACAGACCTAACATAAGGTTCCAAAGGGCCCAGGTCCTTTTGAAAGGCATCAGAAGCACCACAGGGTCGAAATATCATGACCTCAGTTTTACTCTCATTAAAATAAAAAAAAATGTAAGGCCGTCCAGGCTTTGATATCATTAAAACAATCTTTGATATCATAAAAAAAATGTTTTGAGATCATTAAAACAAGCTACTACCATTTATTTTAATGGGCAAGAAGATTTGCTAATTATGTGCGTAAAAATGGAAACTGATGTGATGTTTTTTTAAGATTGATCAAAGGAGAAGCAAATAAAGGGAGAAAAGAATTGACCGAAGAATCGAACCCTGGGGAACTCTACATGTGAGGGACACAAAGGATGAAATGGAGCCACCGAAACTCACTCTAAAATCTCTGCCTGACTAATATGACCTAAACCATTCTAAGACAGTGCATTTAATCCCCACGTTGTGCTCAAGGGGAGAAATGAGGACACTGTGTCAAATACTGCTGTAAGATGTAAAAGGATAAGAAAGCAGAATCTCCAAAGTCAATTGAGATTAAACAATCATTAAAAACTGCTTAAAGTGCAGATTCTTGCCCTGTAATTATACTTCAACCACATAAAAAATAATAATTTGCCGACTGATATGTTACGGTTGTTTAGGAAGAAGTATGTGTTTTTAATTTCAGTTATCCCTACATGTTGGTGTAAGGCTGTGTCTGCCTTTGCAACCAAAATGGAAAGCTAGTAATATTGTAATCACTGGCAACACAATCTCAACACAAGCTGTTTTTAGTAGCTGTTCTGGACCTTTTGATTATATCACACGACCTTCCTTAGGATATGGAGTTTGCCCAGTTGTCAAGTTCAAATTTCCATTTTTCACTTTCATGTTGGCTTAAAACCTGGGATTAAAAGTTAATTCTTGACCTTGGGAACAGTCATTTAGAAAGATCCATTTAGTAGCTGCTCTGGAGCTTTCAATCAAATTACATGATCATCATGTTGACTGGGCAAATCTTGTGATGTGCTCATCATGTGTGAAGCTTGATTGAACTACTCCTCCCAAGGTCAAAAATAGACTTTCATAAATTTGTATTCTAAAATAGATTATTTTACAAGTGAATCTGAAAACATTGCTGACTGATTTATCAGGATGTATCCAGCATACTTAAGTGTCTCTGATCTTTATTGACATTATTACCTGCACTTTCATTATATATTAGTCTCAATGATAGTGTTTTCCTACATCCCTGTCTGCTTAGTGTGTTCTCTGCAGGGAGTTGTCAGTGATATTATGTTGGTGGACCGCTGTAGAAAATATGCGGTACAGTACATCTTCCCCAGGGACATCCTGAGGAGGCACAGTAGATGCTTGGCTAGTAGAAGACCTTGGCTAGCTTGACCGGGTCTCCTTTTTTTTTTAAGGGGAAAAAAATGGGATTTTGTTGGGGGAAAGCCCTAATGAGATCCAGCCCCCATTTTCAAATCAATACATGTCACTTTCCCCTCTGCTGACGACTACTGTTCACTCTGGAGACCCTCATGAGAGCAATTAGAGGCACCATCTACAGTAAGCACACACAAACACACACACACACACACACACACACACACACACACACACACACCTACACACACGTTGATTCAGGATGTCGCTGCAACTATCAATTTCTTTTCTTGCTGCTTGTCGTTTCCTGGTTAGATAAGATGCTTTCAGCTTTAAGATAGAAGGGGGAATAGGTCATATCACTCGCTTTCATGGCAAATATTTAAGAAAGGTCCCTTTTTGATTTATGAGAGTGGAGAAATCAATTATGTGATTATCAGTTCTAAGATCAGATAGTGGCTGTTTTCATGAACAGAACACAGTGATGTTACTGTAGATAAAAGAATAATGAAGCACTTGCACTGACAACTGCATAAACCATTGTTTCTTAAAAATTTAATTTAAGAAATGAAATGTGTTCATTATATAACACGTTATCATAGTATCTAATGTGCAGGTTTAACATGTCTGATAATTTTTCTTTTTCAGCACCAACAGACCAATTGAGATGATCTTGATAGAGAACAAAAAATACCAGGAAAATTAAATGTGTACAAATCCATGACACAGCCTGTCCAAGTGCTGCCAGTCTTTCTATGCATATTTTGCCATGATCTTCTGCCTGACATAAACCACCTTAACTGCTTTTAACTCTATATTGCTTAATATGAGGAGATGTGGTTTAGATTAGATTTAGACAGAGTCAGATTGAAACCAAAGTGATAATGTAATTTTCTCCAAGGATAACTAGTTATTGGTCTAGAATATGGACTGAATAGAAAACAAGGTTGGGCCCCTCTCATCACAATGTATAGATGTTGGAACCACTTGCTAAATGAATGTTTTCCTTTCATTATCATCATTTAAAAAACAAATGTATTTAATTGTGTTAAGATTGTGTTCTAAAGAACATAGATTAAAACCATTTGTTATTATATAAATACTGCTGGTCTACATATGGTCTCTTTTATACATCTGCCTTTTTTCTATTCCTTTTTCTTGCGATTTTCAGTTGGCAAAAAAACTCAACCCAAGGTCCAAAAGCTTGTAAGTGGACCATGAGTGAAGATTTTTTTTCTCCCTTAGTTATCCAAATATCTTTTCACTGCACCGCAGTATCTCTCCTACAGATCAGCATGTCACACATGTGGACTGTAGGCCTGAATCTGAGCATGAGACTGTGCTGATGCACAGTCTCTCGGGGTGTTAACTTCTCATCCATGTGGCAGCCCACCCTCATACACTTAGCTTTAGTGCTGAGCCATCTAGACATTGCGGTAAAATCCATCCTTCCAACAATTCCTCTGTGGTTATTAGTTGCTGGAATATCATTGTTCAGTGATGTTTGTGGAAGACGTTGTAGGAACATGTTAGTTTTGCTATTGAGGAATCGGGTTTCACAGTGCAGTATATTCTTACACGGTATATTCTTACGGAAGTACAACAGGAGACCACATACTGTGGGTTGCAATTTTAATTATTTAGTATTTAGTATTTTGTAGAGAATACACAGCTACTTAGCAATAAGGCAAGTTATAAAAAACTTGGAATGTCTTAACTCTTAAGATTGAATGAAGGTCACTTAAAGTATAAAGAGGTTATTTAGAGTTTTATCAATTTACACTCAAAGATTGCCGCAGGCATCAACCACCTCCATTTCTCCACTACCTTCACCTGTTGTCCCTCCCCACACCTAGCCACCATCTACCCTCATTCATAACCTTTATTTACTCAGATAACAGAGACAAACGTCACTAATTAGATTCAAAGTTAAAGTTTAAAGTCAGTGGGATGAGAGATAAATAATTCATTTTATTTATAAGGCACAGAGCAGTTGAAGGCAGTTCTCCCAAGTTCAGTGTTTACCTAAGTGGATTCTAGAGTCACAGTCCTGGGATCTGTTCTTATGAGCAGCAGTTTTCGAATTTGAGCAGATAAGTGATATGCTGAGGCAGCTTTTGCAGGAGAACTTGATGAATAAAAATGACTGAATATAGTTCTTGTTGTTGCTAGTGAGGACCAGCCTACTTTTCACAAAGTAAACAGTGATAGTCAAGCACATACATGATGGTACAGTCAGTTTCCTGTTCTCAAGTCGAAAACCGGTTTTATTATGATGTAACAAACACATTTTTCACATTTTCACTTTCTGTAAGTTTGAGTTGAGTCATATGGAACAAAAAAATAATTAGGTAAAACTGATAATGGACGCTCTTTAAAGAGCCGTTGAAAAGTCATCAGAGGGTCTTAAAAGGTTGTATGCTATATGTTTATGGTTAGTCGTTGCTGAAACTTGAGCCACTCAGGTTTCAGCCTTGTATAAATAAAAACTATAGTTAGCCATAGTTGCAGTAGTTGTATTGTATCTGTAATCTCGAGTTAATTCTCTTGTTATCTCAAGATAACAAAGTTGTTTGCAACTAGGGCTGAAACAACAATTATTTTCACTATAAGGTAGTTTTCTGATTATTTTCTTGATTAATCCAATGTCAGGTTGGGTGTGCCGGGGCACACAGACAGAATAGTCAGACTCGTACAGCTCAAGAATTTATTGTGCATAAATGAGCTTACAGGCAGGCAGACTGGCAACAAACAGGTGACAGGCAGGTAGACAGATGCAGGGCCATATTAAAAAGTCAGTGAAGCTTAGTGCACTTGCGTACACAACAGGGCGTTCAAGGCAACCACCAGTTTCCATTAAAATAAAGGTTTTGCTTTGTTCTTCGACAATCAATAACATCTTTTAGTCTAAAATGTAAGAAAATTGTGAAAAACAATTGCATTTTTCCCGATTCCAAGAGGACATCTTCAAATGTCTTGTTTTGTCCATCTAACAGTCCAAAACCTAAAATATTCGATTTACAATAATATAAAACAGAGAAAGTCAACAAATCCTCAGATTTGAGAAGCTTGAACTGCAAAAAAATGACCTCGAAATCAAAACAATTATTAAAATAGATTAATTTTGCCGTCAATGGACAAACTGATTGCAGCTTTCCTTGTAATGGGATACAGATCTTGAAAAAATAACAGGTGGTTTTCTCAACATCATGAGATAATTAAGTCATTATCTCAAGAAAACCACCTGTTGTTTTCCTGTGAAAGCAAGATATGTATTTTGCTATCTAAAGAAAACTGTTGTCTGTTGTAACAATAGAACATGAGCCCGTTATCCTGAGATAACAAGATAATTAATTTGTTATCTCCACATAATGTGAAATATTAAATGAGTTAGAGCTGTCCTTGGCTTATGTAGCTGTCCTCTCTAAATTGCGACTGAATGTTGCTCAATACAACAAATTTTCTAGCCATTTTTTTTCTTTTGGGTAATCAATGATTATATAAGCCCCTTTGATTTAGAATTTCCAAGATCAAAGGGATCTGTTTTGTTTTTTTATCACTCTTTTTATTGCATTATTGTGTTTTATTGCACTGTGAATAGACTAAGGGTAAACTAGGAAATAAACTGATATTGGCTGTGTTTCATAAAAGTCCTTCAGTATTTCAGCAGTCTGCGGCATTAGAGACCATTACACTGTGGGAGAAGCAGATGTGTAAGAGAAACTTGTCATCAGAAATGCACTGATATTTATAGCGCTGATTTAGGCTGAGGCGTCTCCAAGGAGTGTTTGTCCTTCTCCTGCTCAGGGAGACCTTAACCTGTAATAGTTTGATTCATGGCAGCATTAAAAGAGTGTCACTGCAGGTGGTGGCTACCATAAGACTCTATGAAACTGACACGGGCAGACTGTTATGTTGACTTAGTTGATGATAGGGATAATACAAGTCTTTTAACTGATCGCTGTCATTTAAAAAAGAAATACTGGCATCTAACCATGTCAAGTTTTTTTCAAGGGGGACATGGAAATGAAAAGTACAAAAGCAAAAACCTTAATCAAGTCAAAGTTATCCAGTATCATAAGAACAAGATCATGGATCAAACCTTTTTAAATCTTGACGTAGAAAAGCAAACAGCCTCTGAAGTAAGTAGCCTGCCACAAGATCCTTCATTAAAGGGGTAAACTCACCAAGAGGGACCAGCTCATTCAGCTTTAAATTATTCTGCAATGAGATCAATGAATGTGAGCAGAGTGCAGGAAATCACTTTGTCGTAATTCAGTTCTGTTTTCAGGGTCAAATAACGAAAGCAAATTCTCTGACTGTAGCAGTAATTTCCATATAAACCGATATCTGGCATAGACGTTGGTGTTTACGTGGAGCCAGAGGTTGTGTGGACTGATCCCCATGAGGAGTTTGTTGATTTATATCATTGATGGTTCGGATCTTAAAATGGTGCCCAAGAAAGTGCATTGAATTGCAATATTTGCAGGACGAGTCATTCTTTATTTAGTGTAGTATTGATTTATCAATTTACAGCCAGTTGAAAGTGTGTTTGTAATGCTGCATATAACACACAGGATGTTTGTCTGAAGGGTTTCTCACAGGCTGCTGCTTGTTGTCAGGGAGTGTTATGTTCAATATAAAGAAGCGGTGATGTTTTGATCATCTCACAGGCAACATTATGCAGTGGAGTAGTTCAACTGATAATGACCTAATCGTGTCCACTGTAATGAGTGGACCGCTACCTTTTATGATATGATTGCTTTGAATGGTGAGGGACATTTTGCTAATGAAGTCGAGCTCCTCCACTTCCTCAGTTGTACAGGGCCACTGAAAGAAGGGGCTGTCACCGGTGGAGAAACATGACCTCATTACCAGACAGATCTGTTCTCCTGGTCATTAGATTAAACAAGCTGTTGTCTCCTTTTGTTAAGTTTCCTGCAGTCTAAGGTCGGGTGTCGTAACGTACACCAGCGAGTCTTGAGGGTCGCAGCGTCACACTGTGCAGAAGAGAGCCACAGGCTGTTATTTGGTTTTCCAGATAAGTTTGTGAATGTTATGTTGTGGGTTTTTCCTAAAAGGCTGATTCAAGAATGAAATTTAAAATCTGACCTACTTCCTCAATGTTACTTTTATTTAGGTGCATTCCCTTTAATATTATATCAGATAATATATTTTATTTAATATTGAACTTAACCTGATGGATAACAGGCCAAAAATAGATGAGTGCGTGTCATGTCGAGATGTTGCTGCAGACAGTGTTAATGCTTTTTACAACAACACTGGTAGACCATAATGCAATAAAGTCAGAGGATTAGTTGTGTTGTGAGTAAAAGTTTCCACTCAACTTTTCTTGACTCTTGTTGCCATATTGTTTACACGGTTGCTTCCTCCAGCTACATGTTGAACACAATACAGTCACAGGCCTATTCCATAGGGCTTGTTTAAAGTATTTTTCTGTCATGTTAAATATTAATGATCAAATAAGTAACAATCAAAGTTAAATTTGCGGGGAAAAACTTTTTTGAGCTTTTTTAACATTTGCTTCATCAGGACTGTGTGGGTGTGGTGTGATCAGGTGTTATTCACAGTAGTCTGGCAACATTAGCAAACAATCCTAACAGTTGTTGCTAAACATCACCTTTTTCTAAATGAGCCCTGCCCACTAACGCTGGCAGAAAACGTAGTGTTTATGTAGGACCTCACCATTATTGTAAGAAGCTGAAGGAGGAAAATATGTTTTCAGGAGATAGATTTGATTCAAACTTCTCTAAAAACAATTAACTGTTATTGCCCATTCCTCGTAAAAAGACCATACAAAACAATTTCAGGGTAACACTAATAATAATAATAATAATAATAATCTTTATTTGTAGAGCACTTTTCAAAAACAAGTTATAAAGTGCTTTTACAAGTGTAATATACAATAATTATAATAATACAAATAGTACTAGTAATAGTAATAATACAAAAACAATACAAGATAAAAGCAAGAAAACATTGAAAAGACTAAAATGCACGTTTAAGATAAACATAGAATAAAATAAAAGGGATAAATAAAGTCAAATAAGATCGGGAAAGGCTCTCCTATAAAAGTATGTTTTAAGAAGGGACTGACTCAGCTGACCTGATTTCCTCGAGCAGGCTGTTCCAGAGCCTCGGGGCCCTGACAGCAAACGCTCTGTCCCCTTTAGTTTTCAGTCGAGACTCTGGAACAGACAACAGACCTCTGCCCGAGGATCTCAAGGTACGTGCTGGTGTGTATGGGACTAAAAGGTCAGAAATATAACAAGGCGAGAGGCCATGAAGAGCTTTAAAAGTGATCAAAAAATTTTAAAAGTCAATTCTAAAACATACTGGGAGCCAGTGTAATGAAGCTAACACAGGGGTAATGTGGTCATATTTCTTTGTTCTGGTTAAAAGCCTGGCAGCTGAGGTCTGGACAGTCTGGAGTCGATCAGTAGATTTTTGGGATAAACAAGTGAAAACGCTGTTGTAATGATTAAGGACACGTTCAACAAGCTCAACCTATGTTGCATGTTTTAGCAGTATACAAACACACCCACACAACCTACACTTATTGTAAACAAGATTACTTAACAATATTTGTAACAGTAACTTTAGTAAAGTGAATGTGTTGCTCTCAGGAGGAGGTGACTTGAAGGAGCACATATTGGCACAATAACGTGCTGGCTCCCTATTGTTTTACCGCGTCAGCTGTAGAACCTCGACTAACAGTTGAACTGGTATTAGGTATCTTGAGGAGGAAGGTGTGGGCTGGTGCATAATCAAAGTGGCCATCTCTCTCGCTCTTGTTTTTGTATAATGGGCTGCTCAATCGGCCCACAGAGCAACCAACCAGCCGGGATTTTGTGCTCATAAATAATTTTTGCGTTTTGCACATATCTATTTTTAGGGGAAAATGCAAGTCACTGTAAAGCTCTGCCTTATTACGATTGTGTTTTAACATATTGTCATTTATGCAGCAGTCTCTACTTATGAGTGCCCACAGGAGGAGTTATAGTTGTTTACACATATTAATAAACACTTATATCTGCTTACAACTACAGTTACTTTACTACTTTAGTTTATTAAATCTTAACATACTACTTATTAAAGGGAACTTAAGGTAAAGTGTTTGGGTACCAAGACGATCCAAAACTAATTTTAGTTGACCAAGAACCTTAACAACCAGTTAGTAAACTAATTGCTTATGGTGTCGCAGCCCTGATAACATAAATGTAGATGAGACAGGTGTAAAGAAAGTAAGCATGTAAGTAAAAAATGTCTTGCTTGCATACAAAATAACTTCTGACAGACGCTGAATGGATCATGTCAGGCCAATGCAGCCGGATGGTGATGATCCTTATCTGTTCTTAGACATTTTGCTGTGATCCTGTGATTCCAATGCCCCCCCCAGTTGGTTGACTCTTACCTATCTTGCCTCACCCTGCCATCCCTAAAATCCAGAGACGTCACTTTGATTTACAGACCCAGTAGCAGCAGGAAGAGCACTGTCAGGAGAAAGCTAATGGGGTGGAAATGCTGAGGGAGCAGGAGGAATTTGAATGGGGCATTATTTCTTTAAATGTGTAGCACAAGGGAAAAGAATAAAGAACTGTATTCATGTTTTCTTCTGTCTGTCAGACTGTGGACTTTACAGGGGCATCTTTTCTTGTCAGTACAGCAAGTGTATCTTCTGTTTTTCTTCTTATTCTGGAGGAGTGAATGGATTAGTTCTGACACTTCGCTGTATTTTTATTCCTCTCTAGGAGGCAGACAGCTGGGAAATCATTGAGGGGCTGAAAATCGGTCAGAGCAACGTCCAGAGGCCCGATAAACACGAGGGTTTTATGTTGAAGAAGCGGAAATGGCCCCTGAAAGGCTGGCACAAGGTAAGATCATAGACTAAGATCCACAGGCAAAGTGAGACGCGGAAGCTTTTGTAACTAGAAAAACACTTTTGCTAGAATGTTAAACAGTTTGCTGTCTAGTGAAGTTCCCCTTTTCATGCACTTAGTTACCCTCACTGGGCCTCTTCCGCAAGCATACTGGATATTTCCTTTGAAGTCTCCACCTTCAGCATCAGCTTAACTGCTGTTTTTTCAAAGCACTTGAGCACCAGTGAAAACCAGTCCCTGTTATTAGCATATTTGAACGCACAGCATCGCAGAACTCACAGAGATAGTGTCCTACAGCAAATTTAGAGAGAATAAACTAAAGACAGCTTTGCATTTGCATAGAATCCACAATGGGATCTATGTTCAATGTCTGCCCTATCTGTTGTTTAACACATTTACACATTCTGTTCTTCAACACATTATTGTTGTGCTTTTTCTCTCCGCAGCGTTTTTTTGTTCTGGACAATGGTATCCTGAAGTATTCCAAGTCCCCCATTGATGTAAGTAAACCTGACTATAGCCCACAGGCAGAAACAGGGCAGCCTGGCCTGACATCAGCTTGGCTTGGCAATGAGTCAGCAGAAACATCTGCAACACGAGTCGTGATGTGTTTCAACACGGCATGTCACTTTGCAGGAAAGCTAGAATTTTAAAGTGGAAATGTAACAGATGACTGTGGATCGCTTGTACTCATTTCATTAACAAGTGTTAATGTAAATGACACCATCTATCTATCTGTCTGTCTGTCTGTCTACTGTATCTATCTGGCCTGACGTACATCCCCACATTCATCTTCTAAATGTGTTTGTTTATACTAGATGCTATTTATCACTGTTACTGACATAATGTCTTTACAGTACATAGTCTAGTCTTCCTGGAATTTCTTACTTTTTTAAAATTAGTTTCATATTACGTTTGTATAACCACCAGCTGTGGTGAAGGTGGACGTTTCAACCATTTTTCAATACTTTAACATTTAAATGTCTCTATGCTGACTAGCTTTTATGCAATCCTTATTTAAAACATGTGTTACAACTGACTTATTAATCTGTAATTGTGATGGTTGGTGATACCAAGGATCAGCATTACACCAATTTGTAATCATAATACTTGTAGTTGTTTTAAAAAAATAGATATATTTTCAAATTAGCTAAGATACTCCATAATATTTCCAAGTACCGACTGTTAACTGCAGAAGTAGCCTCTGGCATACATTAGCCCTGGTTGGGATAGTTGACATTTAAATTTCTTTAATCAATCAGCTAATCAATTTTCAATTTCAATCAACAAATTTTCCCTGATAAAGCTCTAAAGAAACGACATGTTAAAGTGAGTACAAGTGATCAACAGCGTGGAGGATTCTTTGGTTTCTTCAGACTTAACGTTGTGAAAGAAGTTTGTCGTGAATGTAATTACGGATGAGATATGTGCACAAAATTTACCAAGGATTTGGCTAACTTTAAAATGTGTTCATCACTTGCCTTAGATCCAAAAAGGCAAACTTCATGGCAGCATCGACGTCGGCCTCTCAGTCATGTCCATCAAGAAAAGGGCCCGTCGCATTGACCTGGACACTGAGGAGCATATCTATCACCTGAAGGTTACACTGACAGGAAGAGTCAATATTGTCATTTAAATGTGGATAAACAGGAGGTTTAATGTCCGTACTCTTTCTGTTTAGGTCAAATCTCAAGACATCTTTGATGCCTGGGTGTCCAAGTTGCGTCATCACCGGCTTTACCGACAGAACGAGATTGTGCGATCTCCACGGGAGCCTACCATACGAACGTTTCCTCCCCCAGCTGCCATTGAGTCGCCCCAACCTGCCTCGAGTGTAGTACGTGAAGCCAAGGTGAGCCCCATCCCACGCCCCCACCCCAGCACTACAATTCGTGCTCATAAGTAGGGACACAACTAATGGCTATTTTCATTTTAAATTAATTAATCATTTGGTGGAATATGTCTATGCAAGGTTCCTGAAGACCAAGGTGACGTCTTCAGATGTCTTGTATTGTACAACATGGAGTCCAAAGCCCACAGATATATTTACTAAGATATAAAACAGAGAAAAGCATCAGATCCTCATATTGGAGAAGCTGAAACCATGACACTATATGACAGCAGCGTGAACATTTTTTATACTTCTAGTCTGTGTATGGAGCTTAAAAGTAGTCTCTCTCTCTCTGTGTTCCGAGAAGAGTGCAATTACTTATTCAGGAAGGTTATGTCGTGGGGAAAGAGAGATTGCTTCATTCCCGTTTTTATTGGAAACTGGGATAGGGGACCAAAATATCATCCAGAAGAGAGGAGGTAGAATTCACAGTAACAACAGGAAGACTTTGACAAGATTGTGTCTTTCTCGGTTCTGCGAACACCCACACCTGAAAACTTTACACCTATATGTTTTTGCAAGGTTGTCTTTTCAATTACTACAATTTAACTGTTAAATGTCCATACAAATACTGTAGATATTAGTCTATGTTCATTTATTACCAAACTTGAAAGTTCCTCGCAGTTTACATGTATGAACGTTTAACTAAATGTGCTTTAAACACTTGTTCCATATTGTTGTTGTAACCATGTCTCCTGTATTTATGTGCCTAACTGCCAGACTAATGGCTGTGAATGTGTAGACAGATATCTGCCAAATGCAATAAGGCTTATTAGATCCATAATCGCAGACACATCATTAGGATAACAAAAAGGGCTGTTTGTCTAGACTGTTTTCAGTTTAGTGTGAACCCTTGGTCCTTGTTGATGTGTCTGAGCTGTGTGGAAAATTGAGAATGCAGCCAGAGCCTGTTCTCCTGAGACCGTGGATCTGTGTGCCTCATGCAGGCCATTAGAGGTGATCAGTAGGATCTGGATTCAGAGCAGCTGGCTGCACGTGTTGAGCTCTCCCAGAAGAACAGCTTAAATGAGAGACTCAAATCCTAGAGTCAGAATTAATTGCTACATCAAAGGAGGACTATCTAGGTCTCTTGCAAGTACTTGCAAGCTTCGACGTGGCAACTTTTGAACTGTACATGCGCCAAAAACACAACACATTGTTCCTGTCACAATGTTATTCAACCTGCTGTATTTAATACATTTTTTGAAATTTATTTTAAAGTTGTCAAAGAGCTAATTATTGTCCAGCTAAGCGCATTCATAGAGTTACACATTACCTAAGTGCATCAAAGATCAACCAGTCTCACGCTGGTGGCACCTGAACAGATTCACCAGCAGCTGTTGCAGGTGGGTCAAGTGACTTGGTCAAGGGCACAGAAGAGCCACACAGTATGGTTTTAGGGTTTCATTTAAATACCAGCAATGTCTTTGTATCCAGAATCGTCCTCAAACGATCAGCCAGCAGACGGAAAATTAAATTGCAACAATTTTGATTAAGGCATTTAAGAAGAATCTGAACTGCTAAATATTTGCTGCTTCATGCTTCTCAAATGTGATTTTTCATTCCTTTTCTCAGTTTATTATTAGTGCAACAGTTAATGTGACAAAGCAAGGAATTCAAAAACATGAACTTGGGTTCTGGGGAATTGTGATGTTTTTCACTAGTTTCTGCCATTTTTGAGACCAGAGGTTTTACCATCTCCATCCAGCTTCTTTTAATTTTAGCTTGATTAAATAAAAGAAGCCAATTTATCGTCATTTAAATGACAATATGTACGACACGACCTTCATGTTTTACACACGTTAGTTTAGACAGAAACAACACCAGGCTCACCTGCCACACAGACACAGCACAAGATTGACTTAATCGTATTTCTTATTTGACTGATGTATTTATAGAATGAGCATTGCCTGTTTGTCTTTTCTTTCTTGTCAAAAATTATAATAATCATCTTGTTATTTCAACTTATCACGTTGCAGTCAAAAAAAATCTGATTGCTGGCATCATACCAGTCTTGTTTTCATGTAACTTTATAAGTGCTCCCCTTTTCTGCTCCGGTCCCTATTTGCCTGCAATCACGTATTTCTTGATTAATCAAAAACATAATTTATACATGAATCAATATTGGACATAATTGTTAGTTACAGCCTAAATCCGCTATATTCTGGATTAGGGCTGCAACTAACAACTGACTAACTGACTTTCACAAGATCAGACCTACTTCAGTAACTATAGTAAGATCAGCTGAACTACTCCTAATAAGTGTGTAACACACTACAGTAAGCTCTGACACAAAGCTTCTGACAAAACAACCAAACCTCTGTGTCTGTTCCTGTATCACTCGACAGCAAGCCAAGCCAAGCAGCTTGCCATGGCAGCCGGTGGCCCCCAGTAGCGGGAGCAACAGCAGCCTGCCTGCCTCCTACAGTAACGGCCAGAGCAAAGTGGTTGCTTGGCTGCAGGAATCAGAGGAGATGGACAAGTGCGCAGAGGGTGAGTGCAATTTTCTTAAATCTGATTTCACAAAGAGGTAGATTGAATCACGTCTCGGGCCTTTGGATACGCCTTCTGAACCCTAAGATGATACATAACACTGAATGCGTTTTGTCCACGCATGGGTGTGAATTTTATTTTCAGAGCTCGCACGATGCCAGTCCAACCTGACTGAGCTGAGCCGGTTATTGCAGAGTCTGGAGATTCTACAAAGGACACAGTCGGCGCCCAACTTCACAGATATGCAGGTAAAAAAGACGAAAGCGTGCATAGACATGCATGCACGTACAGAAACGCACAAATATGCACGGGTACAGAGAGCAGGGGAAGCAATTTAGTTAGTGTTTCATTTCAAGGTGAATGTGTGTGTGTGGGGCGGTGTTCAGGAGCCTGTAAGTCTCGGGTAATGATGGAGGTGTGTCTATGAAAGGGACAGTCTTTTAAAACCTCAGACAGACAGGATCGCAGAACACCTGCCAGCTTCTCTAACTGATCAGTATCTAGTATTAAATTCAAAAATATTTTTTATTATATATTTAAATTTTTTTTAACACCACACATTCCATTAGTCTCAATATTTGTTTGCAACTCATTTGTGAGAATGTTGTGGAGTTTTTTTTGCCATTTCACTGCAATCTGTGTGTTAACTTTTGCTTTATTTGTGATGTGTTTGTCTTATTAACCCCACTTTGCATGTTTTCATCCACGTGTGCCACAAAGACCAGTTGTGTAGAATTGTCAAAGAAAGAGAAGCGCTTGAACAGAAGATGGAGAACAAAAAGTGTCTGCAAAGATGCAAAATACCAGCTTCAGGTATCTGTTTTTTGATTTTTGCTCTGCCACATAAAGACATGCACACAGACAGGATGCATCTACCTTAATGCTGTAAGTCAGGTCACAATGAAAAGCAATTCATTCAGTTAATTAAGACAAAAGGCTAAATTATACTTTTTGTGTGTGTGTGTGTGTTTTTCATTGTTAGATGCATATATTAAGAACATATATTTAGAATGGATTTTAATTTAAATAGAATATATAATTCTTACATAGTGGTCAGAGAGACCCTGGTGTAACTGAAGTCTCATGTTTGATTCCTGTATGTCTAGTTAAAGTGTTACTGAGCAAGAGTAAAATGTAAAATTGTACTCCCACTGCTCTCTTCACCATTTTTAAGAGGAGAGATTGTGACAGCACACGTACACAACAGAGACAAAGTTGTCGTAGCTTTTTCTGTCTACTTTGTTATTTTAATTTTTAATTTTAATTTTTGCTTTGAGTCTGCACAGCAACTGGCACTTACTAGTAGAGCTGCAACAAGTATTCCATTTATAGATTGGTTGTGAAAATAATCTGCAGATCAGTCGATAATTACAATAATTGTTTGTTGCAGACCTACTTAGGAGTCAGGTGTGTCATGGTCGGAGTAATGACCTTTTCCATCTTTTGTAATTTTGCCGCATTTTCCCATGTGACTAAATGTGCTTTCATTCGCTGTTTAGCCCCATGGATAAAAGGGAATTTTCAGACATTTTCCTCTTATGAATAAATCCACTTTCACACAATCTAAAATAGTTCTACCTTAAGAGATATTTAGATGTAGCAAGGCAAAGGCAGCAGGTACTGCTGTTCATCACAAAAAGCATGTTCAGGTGCCTTTGATTTACTCGATTTAATGACGTTGATGACTGAATCTTCGTAAGTGTTACCTGCAGAAGAATGCAGTTATTTTGTAATTCCCCCCAAAAACATTTCAAAGTAATGAGAAGAGACTGTTGCCGCTCCTCAATGTGACATGTCAGATAATTGTGACGTAATTGGTATCATTATACTGTACATTCAGAGTTAACTCGGCCTTATTGGACCATGGCGCTTGCTCTTCACGGTTGGTTCTGGCTGTCAGACACACAGCACATTATTATGCCTCTTGGCTGATCGACAGTGGTCCTCTGTGATCGTCATCTCTCCCCAGGTCCCTCTGTCTGCCAGCATGTCCCCTGTCCGCCTCCACTCGTCCAACCCCAATCTGTGTGCTGAGCTGGTGGACTTTCAACCCCCTACCTCCCGGCTGACAGACAGCGTAGATTGTTCCAGTGACTACATTAAACTTCAGGAGGAATTCTGCACCATTGCCCAGAAAGGTAGGCAGTCAGCATGCACAGCTGCAGCACCGGGGGTTATTAGGTGAGAGATGTCCCATTGTCTCCTGTTTTGTCACAGCCTGGATCTTATTTTTATACATATTGCTGCCCATCATTTCTACTGGTTATGACATTGTTGCACTTATCTTAGAGCAAGGCAACATAGCAAAAAATAAGTCAGACCAAGCAAGTAAGGTAACCAAACTTATTTAGAAGATAAAGTAAAGGTGAGCATTAAAATTATGACAGCCATCACAGTTTGAAGACTGACTTCCTGGTTCAACTTTGACTTACCGTACTTGCCATAAGTGTGAGTTTTTCTGTGCAGTGAGAAATTATTGGCAACATTACAGATATCGCAGTTTTACTTTTACTTAAAGTTGTAATAAACTGGGATTTTTTGCTAATATTGCTTTAGCACATTTTCTGAAACACTGTTACAATTAATGCTGAAACAATATGCTAGTCAATGGGCACAAAATGAATGAACAGTAATTTAGATAATCAGTCGTTTAATTCATTCATCTGACGGAAAAATGCTTTTAATCTTGGTATTTTAAAGTAAGGATGTATTAGATTACTTTTACTACTGAGACACTTTGTAGACTAAACATCCAAGCAGTTAAACAAGTAACCAGAACACTTGTTGCAGCCTTAGTTCTCAAAACAATGAGTGCAGTCACTGCATGAATTTATACTGTGCAGGACAACACTTCATTTGTCAAAAGTCAATACATCAATCAGGACACCAAAAGGACATTTACCTTTATCACCGCTTGAATCAGGGCATTAAAAAGTCTGTGGAACAGTGTCATAATAAAAGAGTTCCCTGAAGTACAGTAGTGTTTTATTACTGTTTTATTGCTCATTGAGAATTATAATCAGTCACCCAGGTCCTTTGGCATTATGACAATACATGATTATAGACATTTAAGGTTATGGAAGGAAAGGTTATGATTGTTGTCTGAAATACTTTTCACATTAGAATTTACTGTAAACAATGAGCATGTTGATAGTAATACACATCATTAGAAAGGTTACGGTGCGTCACTGGGTTAATTGAAAATAACTGTGCTTATAGTAAACAGTGTTTTGAGGATAATGTTTCTCGTTTCTGTAATTGTACAGTGTAATTGATTTCCTTTTGTCCCATCTCTGTGCAGTCCACTCTCTGCTGAAGTCGGCCTTCAACACAGTGGCCATAGAGAAAGAAAAGATCAAACAGATTCTGTCTGACCAAGAGCAATCAGAGCCGTCAGCCCAGATCAACTCTCTCAGGAAGTCTCTGTCACAGGTAATGAGCCGTCTTCACCCATTACCCATGATGCCTCTTTCTTTCTACTATTAGTGAGGGTTAGTTAACCTGAGCCAGGCATATTTGGCTACTTCACATTCGTAATGCTGTTTTAACATATAATTAGCAGGAGTGATAAGCACATTACTGGGGAAATTACTGCAGTAATTTGAGCGATGTGTCTTTGGTGTTTTTAAACTCAAACTTGTTTTGTAGTTGTAAGACATGCTCATGATGACGGGCTGTCAGATGAAACACACAAGCTACATTATACTCCAAGCAGTCACAGTAATCACTATTAAAAAAGATGATGTGGGGAGATGTGAGTATAGGCTAGCAAGTAGTGAAAGTTCAATCATGTTTTCCCATATTAATTGGCGAGAGAGAGAAATGTGCTGTGCAGTTCATTAACTCCGCTCCTTGGGGCTGTCTCTCTACCCCAGTGATTTAATTGGACTGTTCTTCTGTTAACAGTTGACATCATTTCGGTGAAATGTTTCTGCTGTTTTATTTCTGTTTTGTTCCTAATTGGATGCTTGTGTGACGGTGTTGTCGTAGGCTGGAGGTCAGGTTTTTAATGCAAAGCTCTGTGGGAAGTTGAAAGTCACGGTTGCTATTGCTGCAGATATAACTATTTTAATCTTTGCAGGGAATTTGCTTAGTTTTTTTCCTCCTTAATTTTTGTCTTTTTTTCAGCTATATTATTTCACATGCATGAGAATTATTGCCCAACACATTTTAGCATCTTTTAGCTTTTTGTTTTGTTTTTGGTTGTTTTTGTTGGCAGCAGGCAGCTGGTTTCAGAAAAATAAAGCTCAGATGAACTAACTATACGCTACCTGCCCAGCACCAAATAACAGACAAAGTTACTGTAGCTCCTAACTGGTGAACATAGTGAAGCTTTTAGCAACTTAAGAGCCAGATATTTCCTACAGGATTTGGTGGAGACTAGGGCTGCAACTAATGATTATATTCATTATTAGCTGTTTGGCTAATGATCCAGAAAATGGTGAAAAATATCCATCACTTTTTCCCAAAGCCCAAAATGACATGTCAACAAACCAAAGATTGTAAGTCCTTTTATAGAGGAATAAGGAAACCAGATTTAAGAATCTGGAATCAGAGAATTTTGACATTTTCATCAGGTGACCGTATACACGACTCCAATAAATACTATGTTGCTCCTTATCTGCTGGATGTGTAAATAGGCAATTGCTTTTCTAACAAGTTCACTATATCACAGTTTTTTTCTACTATCCTCACTGTGGCCAAAAATCAGATAATGCTGTTTTAAAGAATAGGTTCAGATTTTTTTCAAGTCTATCTTAATACAATACTCACATGCCAATCTGCATGTTGACAAGAGTTTGCGGTCGTAATCACTCCTCCTGTCCAAACTGGCCTCTAAAATATGGCAGACAAAATCCCCAGTCTGAAGTTTGGCTTAAGCGGTTGAGTTCGTCACTGTCCATGGAATCAAAAAGAGGACATTACTCACTTGATGCTAATTTTGCTAAATCAGACTAAAGCCTCATATTAGCTACAGCTAACCTCGATGCATCCACTCATAGTATGAATACAGTGTAGGGGATTTAGTAAGGGATGTCTTTACTGCCAGTGTGGAGAGGAGGAATGACAGCAACTAACAATGTGAGAGTATTAAGATAGCCTTGGCCCAGACCAGTGCCCTTTTTGTTAACAATTGTGTTTAAAGTATTTCAGAGTACCAATCCAGTGCATCAAATACTAGATCGTCCCTCCACTCATGCCCAACAAAAAAAAGTCAATATAGCCAGACTACTTACTGTAAAAATGCCCCCTAACTCTTGCAGAACCTTTCCACAGAGCTATTTCTATCGTAGCAAATTTTCTCCAGAGCCAATTCGTGGAAAGTAACACAAACCTATCCATCGAATGAAGCAGTCAACAGTTGAACCTACTATGTTTCAATATGAACATATAATTTCATGCGGGAAATACCACATTTTTCATTATTTAGGCCCTGTCCCAAAACGCAGAACTTCGAACCCGACTCAGCCGCATCCATTCTGAATCTGTCCTGACCGAACAAGGTGTCAGTGTGAACATCATCTCCACGCCTGATGAGGTAGGTCACTGTGGACAGCCTGTCACTGACAGAGCTAATTCTGACTCTTACATTGATAAAACAACAGGGCTACCAAGGCTGGCCAGGTAGTTGTAGTGTTTGCCTCCTGAGTTATTGATTCCTGTCCTTATACACTGATGGTCTTTCCAGTACGCCCCGATAGGTGAGCTTAAAGGATCATTATTCTATGCAGAACCTGACGTCAAGGTTAATGGAAAAAATGACTAATTAGAAACGGATGGGAGCTTGCCCTCTGGCAAGGATGCACAGGCTGCAAAATGAACTCTGCGATGGTGTTTGTGTTTGTTCAGGTCTGTTTTGGTTCTTCAACCTGTCATCATAGCAAGGAACAGTGACCATCTCGTGTGTTTGCATGTGTTTGCCTGCAGGCTGGGGAACAGATGGGGATCCCTCTGACTCAGCAGGCCTCTAATGAGAGCCGACTCTCCATGTCGGAGTCTGTCTCTGAGTTTTTTGATGCCCAGGAAGTGCTTCTGTCGGCCAGCTCGTCAGAGAATGAGGTATAACACGTTACAGTTGAGAAACAGCTTTAAGAGAGAACGACAGTTTGGACCATGAGGGGCGGGTTGTAGAGGAAGTGGATCGAGGAGGGGGTTAAACTAGCCCTGCTGCTGGGAAGCCAGATAAAACGTCACTGTGACGACTGTGTGTGGAGCTGCGGTTAGTCAGCAATTAATAAGGGCAGCATAAAAGGCACAGAGAGAGAGAGTAACTTAAATAAAGTCAGGCACGCAGGACGGCTCCTTTTCAATCCGTCCCGAGGCTTAATCACTCAGTTGTGTCACAGAATTTTAATACTCCTCCTCTGTCTGTTCCCCTTGTTTTGTAGCTTCTAGCTTTGTTTTGCCATCACTTGAAAGAATAATTTTCTGCCTCCATCCATTTTAGCTCCTGCTCCAAATATATGTGCTCTCTGAAGAGCCATTAAGCATTGTAGCTCCCCAGACATGCATTGAGCCATGTTGAAGGATTACTCAACAAGGAAATTCATCAACCCCACATCCTGTAGCTCAGGCCTATTCAGACCTGTGTTACACCAAACCTTCACCAGCAGCAGGTGACTGTAATAGAGGCCATTACAGCAACTTGCTGGCCAATGGCCTCATTGTGTTTGCTCTATATAAAGTATGAAAATGCTGCAGTGTCTCATCTTATGATTACTGCAGTGGGACAGATAGCTGACGACTGCTGCAGTTTGTTAGCCACTGGCAAACTGCAGTAACTGTGTGTAGGGTGTGTGTGTGTGTGTGAGGTTCGGATCAGAGTTTGTGTTGTACTCACACTGACTCACTCCGCTCTGTACCTGTTCCCCTCACAGGGCTCAGACGATGAGTCATATGTCAGCGATGTGAGCGATAACATTTCAGAGGACAACGCCAGCGTGACCGATAACGTCTCCAGACAAAGTAGGTCCGACCATGCACCATCACTTGCCTACACCAAGCATCTATAGTTCCCCTTTTTAAAAGGGGGGGGGGACAAATTAATAAAAGGAGAGGATCTCACTCTGTGATTCCTTGACAACATCCACACACACACACACACAGAGGCACACACACTGGTACGGATCTGGAAAGCCCACTTTGTCTGAGGCAGTTGACTTTGCAGGGTTGTTCTGTGCCCACAGGCTTCTCCTAGACTTTATGAAAGTGATCCGTATAAGGAGGGTTGGGATATCCCTCCTCTATCTCTGTCACGTGCCACACAGCAATAGATAGTATCTCATAACACTCTGGGCTCATGTTTAGTCTTACACATACTACACATTTTTATGTAGAGCCGCTGTAATTCCAATGTATTTAATGTAGTGAACCCTCCGGCAATGTAGCGTCCTAGTTAGTTGACCTAATTGTAGAACAGACATTATACAAACTAACAAAGTAAGATGAAATCCAATCAAGAAAAGCCAATCTGCAATAAAATAATCCTCACGCTGTATGGTTTAGGCTTAATCTGATGATTCTTTTCTTAATTACATCTGATTTGGTCTATAAAATATCAGAAAACTAAACCATCACAATTTCCAATGTGACATCTTCAAATGTCTTGTTTATCCAATCAGCAGTTAGATATATTCAGTTTACTGTCATATCAGACAAATAGAAACCTCACAATTTAGAAGTTGCAATTTAGAAAATCTTTGGCATTTCTGCTTGAAAAGTGCAGATTAATCAATCATTAAAACAGTTACCATTTAAATTTCTATCGATCAGTTAATCAACACATCGTTGCAGCTTTCCTATTGTTCCCTAAAATGTCCTCATTTGATTGGATCGTATATATGATTTTGAGATCTATCTATTTGCTGCCACGTGTGAAGCCCCTTGAAACCTGGATAAATAAACTTCATATAATTATTATTTTATTATTAAAAGCATGTTTCCAAGAAGAGCAGTGGCTGTCACAGATGATGTTGTAGATTGTTAATGAGGTGCTATTCTCTTCCCAGTGGCCAACGGAGACTTTGCTGGCAGTGCCTTCCGTAACGGGCGGCGCACCTGCCTGCCGGCGCCGTGTCCTGACACCAGCAACATCAACCTCTGGAACATCTTGAGAAACAATATCGGCAAGGACTTGTCCAAAGTGTCCATGCCGGTGGAGCTCAACGAGCCCCTCAACACCCTGCAGCGTATGTGTGAAGAGCTGGAGTACAGTGAGCTGCTGGACAAGGCTGCTGAGACCGAGGATCCCTTTGAGCGCATGGTAAAGAAGCGGTTACAAGCACTCTGTCAAATCAAATGTTCATCAGGTTCGGTGCTGCGGTGACTCATATTTGCTGTTAATAAATAAGGCAATGTAATGTTTGCTTTTGTACAGTAGCTGTTTCTAGAGTGAATTCTCGGTTGCAACCGATATGAGGTGACATTTCCAGTCACAAGCCAACATAAATAGTCTCACTCAGAGGCACGACTGCGAGGCAGTAGTATGCTCCAATGCAGCTGTCAACCTTGGATATTTTTATCTATCTTCTGTCCTTTTGATAGTGCCCAATGCATGCTAATGTTCTGCGTACTCGTGACAAGGCTTGCTAATATGAGCCGCTAAATCCCCTCTTGTTTATGTCGACTGTGTTGTCTTGACTCTCTGACAGGTTCTCGTCGCTGCTTTTGCCGTCTCAGGCTACTCATCCACTTACTACAGAGCAGGAAGTAAGCCATTCAACCCGCTACTCGGAGAGACTTATGAATGCATTCGGGAAGACAAGGGCTTCTGTTTTTTCTCTGAGCAGGTAAGTCTGTGCACAGACAGAAGCATTATCTTTGAGATATAGCCAATCTTGGAATCTGAGGTTATTACTGGACAATATTGGTGGACTTTGTTTTACAGTATTGGAATATTTTTTCAAGTCCCAAATAATTTAAGTATTCAGTAATTTGGAAAGAGATTAAAGGGACATTAAAAATTGCAACAGAGCTTTGTGTTGCATAAAACACGTAGCATGTTGTTCTTTCTGCTTTTCTCTGCTGCAACCCTAACCCTAATCATTTCACAACCTACAGGTGAGCTTCAAGGTTATTCTTGAACTTGGAAACTGCAGCCATCAACATTTTACCTCAGTGTCTATTTAGTAGCTGTTCTGGAGCTTTCCATCAAATCAAACAGTCTTAATCAGCAGCTATATATTGCCCTAATGTCATTTGGATTTACACACACAAATGATGATACAGACACACTCCTTGTATTTGTGCATCTTTTCCTCACATTTCACTGAACTGAAAGGTGCACTCTTGAAATTATTAATTATACTGCAAATTTATTTCTTGACTAGTTGAGTAATTGTTGTGAATAAAATGTCTAAAATCTAAAAATATTCTGTTACTATCATATTAGACTGATAAAAAAGAAGAAAATGTCCACATTTCAGGAGCTGGAGAACTGAAAATTCTCTGTTTATCAAGATAGATCAACTGATTAATTTTTTTGTCGTTCAAACAATCATTTAATCTACTAATTGTTTCATCTATAAAGTCACAATGGTCCATCATGTTTCTGACAGAGATGTATAAATTTCATCAACAACAGCTGTCAGCTGACTGTTTTTGTCTGATCTTGTCTCAAAGGTGAGCCACCACCCACCCATCTCCGCCTGCCACTGTGAGTCTAAGAACTTCACCTTCTGGCAAGGTAGGTTACACACCTAATTAGTGAGGAGTTTTCCTCATGGAGGCTCTGGCTTAGCAGATGAGCCTAGCTGAAATTTTACTGTTTAAAAATTGCTTTTTGTTTCTTAAATGTTGAGAAGAATGCAAAGATTTGAGTGGTCGATGCATTGTTTTTCATTTCCGATGTTTCAGACGTGAGATGGAAAAACAAGTTCTGGGGAAAATCAATGGAGATTTTACCAATCGGGACAGTGAATCTCATGATTCCCAGGTAACTTTTTACCCAGCTGCTTACTCAGCTTGCAAGTGGCACGGACACTGCGCTCATGTCATATCAGAGTTATTGTAATTATTATTTCTGACTTTATTTGTGTCAATATGCATAATTACAACTGGGAAACTAACTAAGTTTTGGAGCTAACTCCAAAACTCCTGTACTAAGGTTATAGGTAAGAACACCAACACACCCCCTGAGTACCCAGTCCAGTCAGATCAGCTAATTGGACGTCTAGATACGCGGCTAACTAACCTAACTAGCTAGCGGCAGCTACCATTAGCCATAGTTAGGGGTTAAAGTAACTGCTAACAACAAGTAAAGCTATGTCCATCAGGAAACTCCCTAAACCACTAGAAATTGAATCAGAGCAGCTGGAGGACATCAGATTTTCTCCATAAAATATGATCCAGTTTCACCAAAATCAGTGAACCATAGTTATATATACTATAGCCTCTCCACACTTCGATTCAGTGCTGAGTCAGTTAGTTTCTACCCCTCGGCAGGCTTCCATAAGTTGGCAAATCAGGAGAAAGTATGCTTTTGTGTGGGAGGGAGGCCTTTAAGAGACAGGAGCTGAAACATAGTGTTAGACACATTTTGAATAGAGGTGCTCAAGCAATAGACAGTACGTAGTTATACATTTATCATCTGGGCTCATGTCGTTCCAGCTGCGCATCAAGCCAGTCAGCTGTTACTGTGTATTTCTAGGTTTGGAGATCACTATGAATGGAACAAGGTCACCACCTGTGTACACAACATCCTAAGTGGACGACGGTGGATCGAACACTACGGGGAGATCACCATCAGAAACACAAAGAGCAGCGCTTGCCTCTGCAAACTCACCTTCGTCAAGGTGTTTACATGTGATTTGAATGCGCTGCCTACGTGCCCTCGATGCGACTCACTGCGTATTTTAATGTGAAATTTGGCTTTGCACAATAATTACATCTTAAATGTGGAAAACGGAAGTTAACAACATGGTGTTTGTCTTTCAGGGAAATTACTGGAGCTCTAATGTGAATGAGGTTCAAGGATTTGTGATGGATCAAGAAGGGAAAGTGATCCACCGGCTTTTTGGAAAATGGCACGAAGGCCTTTACTGCGGCGTCCCACCTTCTGCCAAATGCGTCTGGAGGCCAGGTAGGCACAGTTTTTGACAATGAACAATTTGACAAAGGCATGGAAGTTATCAGTGTTGATAAACTGTTTGTGACATTTTTGTTTCCTTTCTGTTGCAGGCTCCATGCCCACGGACTACGAACTGTACTATGGCTTCACCAGGTTCGCCATTGAACTGAATGAGCTTTGCCCAGAGTTGAAAGATGTTCTGCCCCGCACAGATGCCCGATTCAGGCCTGATCAAAGGTACAGCATCCGACCCTCAGCTACAAGTATGCTGCTGCCACCAAATGTAAAAAAAATTGCTACTGATTTCCCACAAACAAGATTACATCGTCAGTCACTCTGCTGGTATCGTTTTGACGAGTGCAGACTGAATATTTGAGCATGTGTTATTGCTGAAATTGTATGTCCATCTGATTTAGTGTTTGTCTTTACTGAAAAGTGATGCTTGGGTCACACAGGCACCTGGAGGAGGGGAACTTGGAGATGGCATCCTCAGAGAAGCAGCGTATTGAGGACCTGCAGAGAACCCGAAGAAAGTGGAAAGAGGAGAACGACACCAAACAGGAGCCACGCTTCTTTAAGTAAGCACAGATACCAGTAACCAATATAAAACTGTGTATGCAGAGAGATGACAGAAATGTGTATACATTCTTTATATCCGATTTATGAAGCCATGCGTACTCATGGTTCTGGTTCATAAAGCTGATTCATCTTGAAACTTAGATGATGTACTGTATGTGCAGATCCCAATGACCATAGATGTATGTAGAAATGCCTTTATTCATTTGTTTCCACATGACTTTCAATGAAAAAATGACAAAGTAGCGAAATTTCCAGCAGTCTGTAATAAGCAGAATTGACAAAAGTGTTCAGAAAAATTTGAATTGGCACAGGATGGGATTACAGTGTTACACAATGATCTAAAACGTGAATGCACACAATCTGACGTACAGCAAGCATGTAATGAACATATTCTCAATGCTCATTTGGTTTGACCAGTTTGTATGTATAAAATGGCGATGCATCGTTTAAACATCTGACTCCTGGCACGTTTACCAGCCTGGCACGTTTACCAGCCTAGATAATATCCACCCAATTTCTCAGTCAGAACTGTCATATCTCTGTCTGTTCTTCCAGGAAAGTGGTTGACACCCATCACAGGGAAAGGTGGGTCTCCAACAACACGTACTGGGAGCTCCGCAAAAACCCCGGCTTCATCAATATGGAATCTACAGTGAACTTGTGGTAGCACATGGATTACCATGTCCATCGTGTTGTCATCACAGATAAGAAGGCAGTTACCTATGCACAGTAAGGTGTTAAGAGAAACATGCGTGCATGGACTGCAGAGCTGAGGGATGGCCTGATGCCCAATAACCCTGTCGAGGTTCTGTGGCACCACCACACGGTCATCCATCCATGGAAACATCCTGTAGGATCACCTTCATTGTGCTTGTGGACGCTGGGTTGTCAGGTCAACAATCGTACCACTCCTATGTAGATCTTTCCTCAGCTCCTTTGACTTCTGAGTATGTCCTTGCCTTAAAAAGACACCTGAACAAGTCACAAGACTTAGCGCTTTTTAGTTGAAGCCATTTGATTTCTGACAGCAGTTTGGGTTAGACTAGTCTATAAAGTAGACATTTTGATTACCTACAAGACCGTGCATGTTTAGAGAGCAGCTTTCACTGGCATAAAGCCGTATTTACTATATCATCAATTATTGTAGAGAAAAAAAGAGGTATTTTTATAAAATATCTTGGAATTTAGTGAAATAGCATTATGTGAATTGGCAGATTTTATTTATTTTTGCCTTTTAATACTGTTGGATCTGTATGATAGCAGTACTCCCTCTGGGGAAACAACTCATTTAAAATGAATCTCGCCTGCAGTAGAGGAAGCACAGCGTCCATTGATGGAATTTTTAATGAATATTTTCAAACAGGAGCTCTCAAAGCTGATCATGTGGTGGAAGGAGAAGTAGGATTAAACATGTAAATCCTAACCTGGTGTTTTGGACATGCGATGTAGGATAAGCTACACCTGCAACCTTTTACAGAGGTTTTTCTTTTTCTTTTTTAACTGTCAAGACAGATGGGTCATGGAGTCTAGTTTCTCCTCATGGTGTGATTCTGTGACCATCCCGCGCCCTCCCCCACTGTCTAATTTTAAACATTCTTCCATGAAAGCAACTCCTCTGAATCACATGGTTACATAAATACACACATAACTCCCTCCATATATAGTGGGCGCACTTTCAGTCTGTCCTCTTCTCTGAATGTGGTGCAGATAATGGACTCTCTTAAACATCAGACACTTTTCTGAACCAAAGGTCTAAGAAAAGATGATGTAGTAGGGTGTAAAACCCTCTTGAGACGCTTTTGTGATTTATAAATAGATTTGACAGTGAAACACATGGAAAACAGTCACGTATTTCCAGTACGAGGCTAAACACTCGCATACATCGGGTCACACAAGGTTAGAGCTGCAATGTGCATTTATTTTTAAATTCTAAAAATATAATCTAAAAAATATTTAATTAACAAATTATTTATCAAAATTAGCAATGTCTTAAATTAGCATCCTTGTTCTGAGTAACAACCAAAAAATGTTAATTTAAAATGATATGAAACAAAGTAGTAACTTTTCTCATTTGTGAAACTCTCACCAGCAACTGTTTGGTATTTTTCTTGATAAATGGCCTACATTATTAATCAATCATCAAAACGGGAATACATTTTATTTTGATTAACTGATTAATTATGTGAGCACTCATGACTCATTCAGCCAAAAGCATACAGTAGTTCAAGATGAAACACTGGAACCACCTACAGGTCGTCCCATGAAACTTCAGTTTCAGGAAACTGCATTTCAACAATATTAAAAACACTTTTTTTCCTTAAATGTTTTAGCCAAACAAGTTTGTACAGTAACAAGAATCAAAGTGGATATTTGAATGTGTCTGATTCCCCAGAGATTTTACTGCTATGATCTGGGCTTCTGCAAAGCACCAGTTTACTTATTTGCAGTATGTGTATTTATTGCGAAGCAGATTAGCTTTAATGTTTTAACTAGTGCCCTCCCCCCCTTTTTGTGTTACAGAGTAAGAAAATATAACACAAACAAGTAGTCACACATTGTCCTCGTTTACGAACACATATAGGTTGATTCCTTTCGTTCAGGACTGCAGGGTGAGGACACTGAAGCAGAAAGAGTGAATACAAATATGTAGAATGAAAACTTTGTGAAGCAAATCCATCTTGTGTGCACTGTTTATATGGTACTGTAGATTACAAACCAAAAAGGTAGTACTGCTTTGCATTCATATCTTTTTTTTTTTTTTTACTGTACTTTACTGTGCTTTTAATTTTTTATCCCTGATCACAAACTCTGCTACAATTCGTCAGTGTCCGTTTCACTTGCTGTGCCTTAACGCATTTATTAATGCCTCACAATACACACTACTGATAAGAATCCCCCTGCCAAGAAGGTATGCCATTAACACTTTATCCCATCTCCACCTGCCTACAGATGATAAATTATATTGAAATATGGCGTTTAGGATTTAGCTGTGGACAAAATGTCTTAAGTCTTTAAGGGAAATGTCTTTAGATGAGAAAAATAGATTTATTTGACTGTAAAATGCTCGCAGTGTTAAAAGATGTGCACTGCTCTGCACTCCAACATTTTAGGTGATCACTGTAAATACAGCACATTTAGACGATGGGTCACTACTGCAAAAGCAGATTCCTTTTATCCTCCTACAGTGATTTTTTTTGTGTGTGTGTGGAGGGAGGGTCAATGCTGCTATGCGTAGTGTTTGGACTGTAGTGTAAAAAAAAAAAAAAAAATTCATGAAAACCTCCTCATGCTTTCTTCATCCATCGTTCTTCCTGCATGTCTAGACAACTTAGCCTGCCAATGAATGTTGCAGATGCCTTACAAAAGAAAAAAGGTTTTGTTTTCTCAATTGGACGTCTCATGTGTTTTTTTTTTTGAACTGACATGTATCACGAAGCACTGTGTCAGCTCAGTTTCTTTCAAATCTATTCCTTAATGGGTACCTTCTAAAGTGCAATTTTAACAAAAGTACATATCTTTCCATGAATACTGTACACTGCTGCTACATAGTGCTTGTTCTAATAAAACTGTAAAACTCAACTGATGAGGAGTGTGTGGTTTGTGTAAAAGACAAGCCATAAAAAAGTCCCTCAGGGTTTTCCACGTGAATGAATCAATCATCAGCAATAAAATGTCACAAAATTGTGAAAAATGTCCACTACAGTTTCCCATAGTCCAGGGTGACATCATCAAATGTCTGGCTTTGTTAAACCAACAAGCTGAAATCCCCCAGTTTCAGAAATTATATAAACCATTATTTAGATGGGTTTTTTTCACTTTTTTGAAGCATTTGTTTCATATGTTTGCATGAAAAATTACTAATGTTTAATGCTAAAAACTTCCCAAATCACAATCCAATCCATTGCTTATTACTTATGCTGTGTTTTTCCCTCACTTTGCAGAAGGATGCATGTGCAGACATCAGTTTTTAAATTCATCTGTAGGCGGAAAATCTCTCTGCTCACTTTAAATCTGGGAGCTACGCATGTAACCACTGTTCCCTGACAGAGGGAAACCAAGTACAACACATCATTATTAGGGTTTGCATTCTCTCGAGACCAACCTGAAGAACCACGCCTGTCGAGGTAAATGAGACTGTTGAAGGCAGAGGAAGTCCCACCTTTCCCCAGGGCTACACCCTTCGCAGTCTCTACTCCCAGTTCCCTTTCGGTCCGTACCTGTGGTTCAGCTCATCAGTATGAAGCTGTAGCATCACACCCCTGCAGATAATCTTAAGAAGATCTGTCCCTGGCACAGCAGTAATAATAAAGCTACTTCTCTTTCCTGCTGAGGACACTGAACTGTGGACTGTCACATCAAGGCAATAAAATTTCATGAAAGTATGTGCAGAATAAACTTAAAGTTAATAGAAATAAACCATTCCGTTGCCCCATGATCGAACAAAAAAGCAGTTTTAGCAGCTTTAATGCTATCTGAAGCAGCTACATTGCAGAGTTGACATTAGTCTGTCTGTTAGATATCATTGTCAAACATGACTTGTCATTGTTACCGTAAAGGGCCTAGTAATGTAGCCATCATCCAGATGATCAGCGTTATTTTTGATAATAAATGTGGACTTATGGAAGTTGACTTATTTTTCTGACTGTTTAAAACAAATGGACTTAAACAATAATAACCATTATCAGATTCTATTTGACTAAAAACAAGAACAATGTATGTTTAGTACAACTGCATCTTGCATAATACAATGTAGACCACAAATACAGGCCTGTAGTTCATCTATAGAAATTTATCCTGATTTAAAAATCACAATCACAATATGGGTCAGAAAATCCTCAATTAGACATTTTGCTCAAATTGTTCAGCGCTGAATTCTGAGACTTGACTGTAACCTTTCCCAAATCACAAAACAAACCTATAAATAATTAAAATCGATGAAGAACATCTTTTTGTACGGATGACACATGCTTTCTTGTCTGTTAGCTATTAAACCACACAACTCAAGAGTGAATGAACAAGTGTGCAGGCCCTGATGTAACCCTTTGTACTAATACAGCAGGACATGCAGCCTCATAAATTGATGGCTGTCAAGTGATTAGTTCCCAAGAGATCATGTTTCATTCACTAACGACATATGCAGACACGGCAGCAAATGTGTTCTCTCAGTATGGTCTACTGGAAACAGAAACCAACACTCATTCACATTCAGTGTTTGGGTTTATTTTCTGGATTCTTACACATGTTGCTACTCTCTGCCAGGATTCAGTTCATACAGCAGAGGACACCAGTCAGTAAAGGCATTAAATATATCACTATGGTACTATGAGGCACACTGCAAAAATGTCAACTGACCAGCAGAATGGGAATGTAGGATAGCATATCCTCCTTATTATTTTATATCTATTTTGAGATTCAACCAGATAGAGACAACAGGGGTTGTACAGTTGAGTTGCATACTGACAGATGGAAGAGTACTGTAGGAGAAAAGATAAATAGTCAAAAATAATCTCTTATTGAAATCACTTTCATTTTCAGGTGACTTCTGTTCATAAAAATTAAAAAGAAAGCCAAGTATCTCTTCAGTAAATTTAAAGTAAATCTTCTATCGGCTGTCAATAGCATACAGCTCAATAGGGCCAAATAAGGGAAAACTATGGTGAATAAAAAAATAAATTAAGTCAAAGGGAACCTAAAAACATTCCGACTAAAAATAAGAAGCAAAAAGATTGGACAAATAAAGCACCGACAGCTTAAACATTACATTACATTATGCATGTAAAACAGGTCATAATATTCACTGTTCCTCCTTCATTTACACATGTACATTTGCTTAAATATGTTGGACATCTCAAGTAAAACGTGACAAAAAACATACAACCAGAAGATGATTCTTAATATTGAGATGGTGTGTCTTTGTGGTTCTGCTTTGTGATATACATAATTAAAAATATATACCATGACCTCATACTGTCCATGGGAAGGAAGACTAGTGGGAAGAACGATCTACGGCTTCATCATGACTGGACATCGGCTTTTATGTGTGACAATATTGGTGAAAGAAATATTTCCTGTGGTTTTACTTGATGGAGGCCATGATCTTGATGTACTGGAGGGCGCTATGTGCTGCGTCGTTGTGCGCGTTGCTACAGGAAATGCCTGTGCCGTGGCACACAGTGACCGGGGAGGTGGACAGCTCAGCCAGGCACTGGTACTGGCCATTCACCGTCAGCTCGTCTGCAAAATACAGCCACACAGCATTACCTTGACCAGTTAGAATGAATAACAGTGTTTTGTTTGGGTGCTTTCCGTTCAGCTAGTTACGCTTCCTCCCGTCCTCCAGCTAAACCCAGATAATCCATGGGGATCTGCTGTCACTGAGGATGTTCCAATCCCTTAAAGGCGTAATCCTTACCATTTAAATTTAAATGAAATCAAGCCTTGTTTTTTAAAACTAATGTTTTTTTCTGCAGTACCCATTATCTGTCATCTCTCAGTTTTCATTGTTAGTGGCAGAGTGCGCCATTCCTGCACAGCAGTCAAATTGCCTACCTACGCATTACCGTTTGTAATTTCAGTTTATTGATATCAGCCTTACTGTTCAGAGCTGTAAGAAGTCACTACTCAAAGCAATGCGAACATTTCCTACTGCCACTGCTTCACATTAAATTTATTCTACTGGCAAAAAAGGGGGTGATAGGAAAAATAATGTATTTGTCAAGGCGATCGTTCATCAAAATTGCTCTACAAAGGAAGACTATTATTTCATCCCCAGCGAATCATAAAAGCACACTACAACAAGCGACTTTCTTTATTTTTTGCTCTGTTCCAAGTGCATCTCGGGTCATTCAGGAAAAATGACATAGCCTATCCGAATATTTGTTCTGCACAACTTATCATTAGTCCTATATAATGTCAGTCTGGGGCTGAAAAGGACAGACTTACTGTACCTGCAGCCTTTTAAAAACTATTGTAGTTGAGCTTATACTCATAGCTGGTTTTATTATTTCCTCACATCCATTTTGTCTTTTCAGTGACAAACTAATTTTAATTGTCAATTGGTGTTTTTTCCTATCATAATGCAACAGATCTATAATCAGTTTTGGAGCTGTGGTCATAAGGCATCAGGTATTTTCGTTAGAAGAATTAGAGAAGTGAGGAGCCAAGCTGGCTGAATGGGAAGCAGCCTGTCTCTTAGCAGGTGTGTGTTTCCTTACCAATGTCAAAGTATGTGACCTCAAAGCCCTGCTCCTTGGACAGCTCCAACATCATCTGAATATAATCTGTGTTGGGAATACTCAGCGGGTTTCTCCTCAGTAAAGACATCTTCTCCGCTGATGAGTTCCTTAAGTTCTCAAATCGGACACTTGGTTGAGGAGTCTAAACAAGGTAATGCATGTCAAATAAAATGGAACACAAAAGGCTTTTAACTCAGAAACGTTGCAGCAGCCTCCAGTGGTCACTTTGCAAAGGTGATAAATATTTGACATACCCATGTGATTTCAGAACAGCCTGATAGACTTTGAAGCTTTGCCACTATTTTCTCTGCAGCTGCCTTTTTTGCTGCCTTTTTTGAATTCCCTACAGCTGTCAAAACACAAGACACAGATTAAGAACAGGAAGAAAAATGTGAAATTGCAGTCACTTTAAAAGACTTTACACGAATGGCTTAAAAAACACCCGTACCCTTCTCTGACAGCGACTCCATTCGACAGGTAACAGTGAATTCTCTTTTGTGTGGCGGACCAGCCTCCATTAACACTGTGTATTCGGGAAGACGCCATCCTCTCTGCAACGCTAACTCCTGAAATGAAAGGCCAAATAAGAGAAAATAATGAGGACAGAGAAAAAAACAGAGGTAGTATTTTATTTCAGAATATTTGAATGCATATAATACAGCACATATTGGCATTGTTGCATGCCATTTGCCTAGTTTAGTAAGCAGACACAGTTTTTAATCTCGGCAAGAAAAAACATCTAACATATATCTTTTATACCCAAGTTAGGGGCGAAACATCTTTAAATAAATATACACAGAAACTTGCTCATATATAATTGTGATTTACACACCTGCAGTATCCCCACTGAGTTGGGATGGTTGTTTGTTTCTGCCACAACACCGTTACTCTCAGACTTCACAGGAATGTTCCTGTTGGGAATTACATCAAAACAGTTACCACAGCTGTGACAGATCAACTCTCACCGCAGGCTGTCCGTACAGCACTTTGATGGTATGTATTGCAAACACTGTTGCTAAAAAGGCTAACGCTAGACAAACTCAACTTAGGGCTGCAGATAACAATTATTTTAATTATCGACTAATAGTAAAGTAAAAATAGTTAAAAATGGCCATTATACTTCACCAAAGCACAAGCTCATAATTCAAATTGTTTTTTTCGTCCGACCAAAAAGTCTAAACGCCCAAAAAATTCTGTTTACTATCATAGAAGACAAGTATCTGCATTTGAGAACGTAAATTTTTGTCATTTTGGCAATTACTTGATTATAATAATTCTTGCCAATTTTATTTAAATAATAATTTCAGCTCTACTCACACTGTTCCAGCATCTATCTGCAGAATATTCAGGGCAGCCTCTGCAGCCTGGTGTTTAGCAGCCTTTTTACTGGGACCTTGACCTGAAACAAAATACAACGGACTATGTAACATCACTACTACTATTAAAAAACTTATTTTAGAGTCAGATGGAAAAAATGGCCCATAATGGCAAGAAAATAAATATGCCTGATTGGAATTTCTGCTTTAAATTCCGGAAGCCCTCAAGGTGTTTTGTATCCCAGAAAGTACATGTTATGTCTGGAGGCTACTGGAAAGGACATATAGAAAATTCTGGAGAAAAATCTGGCTGAAAGATGTTCAAATATAAAGACTGGATTATATCTCATCACCTCAACACTGACAGCTTTGCAAATGCTCGTCATCCTCTTCTCTGGACCTACACTGTATACTGCAGTCACAAATTATATGTTGCAGGCTGGAGTGCTCTTTCTGAATTATCAGCGTATGATTTTAAACTCAAATGTAAGGTCGCATCCAGTGACAAGCAGCTATCAACACAGCAGGGGACTGCGACTGACCCATGCAGCTAACATCTCCGACTGTCACGCTGAAGACGAAGCTGGGCTGGTGAGCTTCTCCTTCAGCCTTCTCCATCAAATACACAGGAAGGTTGCCACTTCTGGTGCCGTATTCATGCAGGATTTGTATAGGTGTCTTCCCGGGGTTGGCCCTCTGTGGTTCATGTGAATTCAAGCTGCGTGTGTTAAACAAACAAGCACAAACAGTTAATCAGGACCATGTTAGGTGGGCTGTTGCCATTAGATGGCTGCAGGATACATCCGAGCTGCAAATACAGACCAGAAATAATGAATGCAAATGGTGGAAGCAATTTACAACAGGGAAACATTACTGCAGAATAAAACTGATATGTCAAGAGTTCTTAAGAGTATTTATATTATATATTTCCAACAGATATTGGCAGCTTATTAGCACATAAACTTACAAACCACCAAAACAACTCCTTCAGCTTTTTATAGGGGATTCTAAAGCTATTAGGGTTATAACCTGTATACTCAGTGTTCATAGATCCTTATATGAATCCAAAGATACTGAATGGTCAATAAGTAGCTTCTTATTAAGGACTCACTGACAAAAACTAATGTCTGTCAGAGCTAGTGATCACCTGTAACATTACCACCTAATGCAACTGTCACAATACCCTGTGGAAAAAAAAGTATATTTATTGTCAACATATACTCCGTGACCAAAAATAAATAATTATAACTGAATTTGGATAGGGCCATCTTCATGTAAATTGAGGTACATAACAAATGTGTTTTAATAAAATACAGTCCAAAAAACCTGACCATAAACACAGCCTCAAAAATAACTAAAGTTGACTCAATTCTTATTTGAAAGCCTCAACAAAGGTTATGATTTACAAAAGATAATATGTTGTACGGTTGTACCTGCACTATACTGTATAGAGCTTTTTAGTTTACTGGTCAGTTAAATGTCTAGGCGGCATATCTTCTGTTCTGACAGTTCTCAATGTTTCTCAGTTTCTTTCACAGACATGATAAGTGTTTTGCAAGGACTCAAGGCTGCCTTAATGGGAAACTGACAAAAGCTCACTGCTAATTATACTTTTTTGTGTACAGTATGTCTGTAAGCAAACTTGGGGAAATGTTCCACACGTTATAGTACTCTAATGTTAAAATAGGGATGCCATGTGAAGTATAAGCATTAAAAAACAAAACATTGAAGGAGCTGGCAAGAACAGTTTTACATATACTTTCTGTAGCACTGTGTGTGGTTCTTTGATCTCTGAAGCATAATCTTATTTGATTGAATGTTTCTCTTATACAGGCTATTACTACAAATCAGAAAATCTGCAACCACCATTCAGTTATATTAAACTGCATATGAAATGTGAGCCTTTCACTTTACCAACCACAGAAATGCCACTGCACTTGCAGATTTCCACTGTGCACACACAATAAAGCTGACGTTAATAGAGATCTCTGTGGTGTTGTTGCACATTGAAAAATGTGTATGTGCTTGTTAACCCGCAAAGACAATAACAAAGGCAGTAAATACATTGAAGTGTTGTTGTTGGTGTGAGAATTAACGTTAGCTGGTAACAACATGGTAGTTTCCAAAAATCAAAAGGTACATATGAGATATCACAGTAATCATGTTTTCCTACACCAAGCAGCACAAATGTATATTATACAGCCAGCTGTACATGAATATAAATAAATAATCATATATACTTCTTTGATATCAGTTATATTGCTGCAGTCTCTCTCAGTGAGTGACAACTTTAACTTTGCCTAGCTGACAGACTAAAGCTAACATTGTAACGTAATGCCACTTGCTATTCTGCTTAACAGGGATCTGACATAAACAAGACATGGAAGAGACTTATTATTCCGCGCATTTAACTCGAGAATTGCATTTAAGGGTGCGACACAAATGAACAAGCAGTTGAGTCTATCAAAGATAAAATACTGTACGTTAGCCAGCTAAGCTAATCAGGGTGACAGCAAGTTAGCTCACTGACGTTAATGCTGTTATTGCTGTTGTCATTCAATTAACAGTAACATTACATTTTCTCTGCTTCTAACAGGGGCTTATCTGCAGGTTCCCTTCCGAGGGTTAAATATTACAACTCTAAATTCAAAAGGCTGATAAACCATAACAGCATTAAGAGACAGTTCAACAAAAAGTACCAAGTCAACAGTTAAGCTAACGTTAACTATCGAAAAATAACGAGACATCACTTCATCTCAAAACAAAAGCTAGCAAATTAGATCATTTTCTACCGTTTCAGTTCTCTGAAATTCACGTTGAGCTTCATTTGAGAAACTTTACAACGTTGATTTTTTTTCTCATAACTAGGTTAGATAAACGTGTCATGTTAACACTTCGCGTTACAGCGTTAATGTTACCTGCACCTGTAAGTTAGACGTGTTTTCGTTTGCAAACGTTAAACACCATTTAATTTGAAATAAAACAAATAACCTCGTGTCGGCGGTGGATTTCACTGCTGGTGATTGATATCCCTCTTGAGACATGTTTACAATTTGCTGTCGTTTGCGGGCCGATTAAAGATAATCTTGCTGGTAAATGCAAAACCTCAGACACCGCTTTCAGATATTTTTGCCGGCATCTAGTTATGTTATGTACTGGCCTTAAAATGCTAATAGCTCTTGACCGAACATAACATCGAATCAACATCCAGGTCAGCAGCGGGTCGCCTGATGCCAGCGCGTGGAGCTAAACTGTTCACCGCCTCCTACTGGTGATGGTGTCCAAGTGTCGGCCACATCTGTGAAATGGTACTAGATTACAGTTTTTCCCAGTCTCTTTGGTCCATTTATCTAATCATCCTTAACATTTGCAAAACAATATCTGCATTTCTCCAAAGATCGTACAAACAGCGCTGCACAATGAAGCCCATAACTTGCTTATAATCCTTATATCGCTCTCAAAAGTAAATATTTAGGTCAGTGAACATGCATTTTAATCATTGTCATCCAAATCTTAGCCGTAGTTTACATCAGAAAATGCTTACAGAGTCCTACTTTTACACTGACAACATGACAACATGACTAGACAATTTTACTTTCTGTAAATAACACAAGTAGACTACTTGTCATTCTGATGGCACTGACATGTTCACTGAACTAAATGTTTACTTTTCAGAAATGGATTAAGGATTTTGAGCAAGTTAGGGGCCTTTGCAGGTAATCCACTGTGCAGTGCTGTTTGTACAGTCTGTTTCGAGAAATGCACTTATTTTTTAGCAAATGTTAATGATGATTTGAGAAATGTTCCAAAGCAACTGAGAAAAACTGTTAAAATGCACACGGCTGCACTTTTTCAGTATGGATGCAGATAAGAAAAAGACAGAACTGTTTTACAGTCAACAGACAAGACTTTTTTTTTACAGAACAAATTAGAAAATTAGAAATGTAAACATGAAAAACATCAATACATCAATAGAGAACAGGTATAATATATTGTGATCAACATGACATACGCAGTTGATAATGTAGGAAACAGCAGACAGTTGTCCATGTAGTTTGCAAGTAGTTTTGAGAATTTCAATTCTGATCTCCGAAATTTACTAAAGTGACTGAGAAAAACTGTAAAGTACATTCTCTCCAAAAACAATTGTTTTAGTACTTATTTAAATGGTAAGAGGTACTTAATAACATTTACTTAAATAAGGCAGTAGTAGTAAAGCATCAGCCTCATACTGATGTAAAACAACAACTTTAATTGCAGGGCTGTATATTTAACTGTCCTAAGACAGGTTACTTTCATGGTTGGATATAATTTATACCGAAACGGGGTAGCAAGAAACATAGATCAAAGGCAGAAAATGTTGAAATTTGGTCTGACGTGGCTTACATGTTTTGGGGTTTTTTTTGGTGATAAACACCTTTTATAAAATTTGTGGATGCACATGTATGAGCAGGTGTATGTGTTTGGATATCTGTATACTGTAGTCACCATAGTGCAGCTCTTACCTTGTGAGGAATTAGCGAGGGAGCTTGTTTTCTGTTTTTCTGTGTTTATATTTTGTGTTGTATTTTTTCAAAATGCAGTCTAAAAAAGTATAAATGTTAGAAAATTGTGATATATGCCCATCACACAGTCTCAGAGTCGAAGGGGACACCTTCAAATTGCTTGTTTTATTGTCATTTTGCTTGTTGATCAATGTGTAAAAATGAGCTCATACAAATTCAACATTATAAATCATGTAATTAATTTGGGTAATGCAGAAATGGAGGAAGGGAGTTGAAGCTGGTGTATGACAAAATCATCTCCACTTACAAGCTTTTAACCACACCTCATGGTCGTCATCAGCAAATGGAGCTGGCTCAATCGTTGTTAAGAAAATACTGTAAAAACTGTCCCAGGCAGACATCGTAAACAGCCGATGTAAGACAAAACCACTTGTGTCTCAGGGATCACCCGGCAGCACAGGCATTACTGCTGACAGTGTGACAGGCAGGGAGCAGAGACTTTGGGGACCGGAAAGACCACTTTTTTCCTGAGTGAGAAGGCTGGTTGAGGCATCTGCTTTTTTGAACAGGTAAAATCCGTCTTCTGGCTAACATCTGCATTCACTTTTGTCAGGATAGACACAAGGTCAAAGCCACTGGGAAAAACGAAAGATACTGTGAGAAAGTGAACTAAAATACTTCGAAAGCCATGTATTATTAGTTATTCTACAATTTCAAACCACCACAAATCACTGCAGTAAGTAAAATTAGAGTTGGAAGAAGTTTTCAAATCATTTACAATAAATATACTCCATTAGCAACAAAATGTACTTGAAGTATCAAATGTAAACATACTCATAAAGTATCAGTGTACAGATTATCATTATATTATTTGATTTTTGGGTTAAATCTGTAAAAATGTATCATATTTTAAAAAACAATCGTATGTTTTGTTTTGCATGTAAAATCTGAGAAGTAAAATAGTTAAATTAAGTGGAGTAGAAGTATAAAGTAGCATAAAATGGAGATACTCAACTAATACTCAGTAGCTCAAAACTGTGCTTGAGTAAACATACCTAGTAACATTCCACCACTAAAAAAAACATTTTTTGTTTCACTTACCTGGGCACCATCTGGACAAGGTTTTGGCACAATGACTGAATAAACCACGTGCCATTTTTCCTCTCTCTGAATGAGACAAAAGAAGGAACGGTGGCCATTCCCAGCAAGAAGTCTGCATCAGATGGGATGGAGTGTTTAGCTTTAATGGCATCGCTGTAAACAAGACTGCGTGCGGAGCCATCAGTCTCGATGTAGACAGCCTTCTGCTCGTTGGAGCCCTGGCAAGCCTGGATGAAAAACAGCTTGGGTTTTTCTGCTAAAGAGGAGCAATTTAATCCATTGACAGGTTCCATCAGCTCCTTAATCTGGACGGTGAGGCCATCCACGCCATACACGCTTCCCTCCTGGCCGTGGCTGAGAACGCAGCATACCAGGCAGTCCATCTGACTGTGGTCTCTCCTGCCGAGCTCCCGCAACACGGACAGCATCTTGTCCCTCTCACAGTCCCGCTCTATCACTACCTCAAAGCCAAGCCACTGAAACACTTTGCGCAGGCAATCTGGAAGGCGCACAGATGAATGTAAATACATATATACAATACAATGTGGCCACATACAGACAGAGCAGAGATAGAAAACATGTACCAGTTTTCCATTTGAGATTTCCAAAATGAATGAAACATAAGGTCACCTTCATCAACCTTAGTCCCCATTCGCTCCAGCAGACCTTGTTTGGATTTAGAGAAGTCTTGGTTGTTTACTATCAAGCAGATACCTCTCTTTGCTGCAGTCATGGGATATGCTCCCAAAACCTACAGAGAAAAATCTGTTACCCAGATTGAATGAATGAAGGCTAGGCAGGATTCAGTGTAATACAAATTTTTTTCTGCCAGTTACACGTTCAAACAATAGCTTTTGGTCAATACACGCAGGGCCTCATTCCTTACTTACGCCTACTTGTAAAGTTGAGAAAAGGTAAATCACACACCTCACTGTCTGTGTTTGTAGTCTGAGACGTCTGCTTTTCAGAGGAAGTCTCATTATCTTGAGACCTTGAGACTTTCACAGCATCACTACTCACTATCGGACAGAGAAATGTAGTGTGGAAGAGGAAACATTTAAGGGAAAGATGCAGAGACAAATGTTATATTTGAATAATTGACATATAATTTCAAAAATACTTATAATGACCTTTTGAGGTGGCACAGATGCTTGTTTCAGTGCTTAAATTGCTACCACGTGACAGGGCCTCACATTCATCTCCACCACGCGACACATTTGTAAAATCTAGGAAAAGGATACAAGAAGATTAATCCATCCCCTGCAATGCAGTTAATCAAGTTTCAAATGTAAAACAACCGAGCAGAACGCAAGACTCACCCACAGAGGTGTAAGAATTCATGGAGAACTGTATTGGACACAAAGGAGAAGACAATTTAAGACACAAAGAAAAGTTTTATTATTATTTGTGATTCACTTAACTGTGTTTTAATGACAGATTCTCACCTCAGCCAACGGTCGCCATTCTTCAGAGGAGACTGAAAAAGGTGATTAGGATTTTCAACATGTGTTCAATGCGAGTGCATTTACATACGGATCAATGTAGCATTGATTGGTTGGATTCCCACCCACAAAGTTTTGTTTGTTTGTTTGTTTTGTAACATAGTATTTCATAATGATGAGAAAAACACAGTTAAGTGGGGGGACTTGAACTTTCACAGTTAATTTGCAATAAGTAAATTGGCAATCGGAAAAAAGAAATTCACACCTACTCCAACAGAATGATTGCCATCATAAAGGCAAAGTGCATTACAGTTAATCTATTTAAATATTTAGGTTAAGGACATAACATCATCATCATCATCATCAAAAGTTATCTGAAAACTAAGGCAGCAACATTTTACTAAAATGCATACACAGTGGGTTAAACCCTTCATATTAAGAAAGTGATGGAGATACAAGCAAGTATCCAGTTCTCTACATCTAAATACACAAAACAGACAGACATGTTATTATAACTCCATTTACCTGGATTTTCACATGAAAGAGACCTCCCAGGTTCTAAAGATTTACGGAACTGATGAAGAACACAGACAAAACAGACACTGCTGTAAATGGCTATTGCTGAAAGAGTCAGTAGCGTGGTGCATGACACTGCAGAGCTGTGACCATAACATCATGATAAAAAAATCTTGCACTGCAGGCAAGTACCTGGCTTAGTTCAAAAGTGCAAGACGCGGACCGTGGTCGACCTGTTTCTTGAGCTATAGGGCCAGTGTGACGTACTGTGGATAAAAATGACAAAAGTAAATCAACAGTAATCTGATTTACAGACAGATTCAATACAACATAACTATTAGATGAACGTGAAATCTTAATTATATGTAGCAGGAGAGATAAACTTTTACAGCATCATCATCCTCACCTGTTTCAACCTCTGGCTCAGTCCCTGCTTCCCCCGCCTCCACAGTATCTATGTATGTATATGTGGATGTGTGTTTGGATGTGTGTTTGCTTGTGTACATAAATCCGATCACACAATCACATTGTGGGGACTCAACTGCCTTTCAAGTGACAAAACGCAAGTCACCGCAATGTAAATTATTATATTTTGAGGGTTAAGACTTTGTTTAAGAGTCAGAGCTAAGCATGTTGTGTCTATGGTTAAGGTGAGCGTAAATCTGCAGGAGATTAATGTAAGTCAATGCAATGTCCCCTTTAGTGACTTCCTGGAGGCCCTTCAGTTTCCCTCCTCACCACTGTCTGTCTGCCCATTTCCCTCCTGTTCCTGCTCTTCCAGTAAGTAGACTGTTTGAAACTAAATCTGCTGTCTCGCTGCTTTTGTGTCCGTATTCCTACATTTGTCGTTATTGCAAAGAGAATTTTCAGTGGCTTACCCTGCCATGCTTTAAACTGGTTGATCTTTTGTTTCAACACAGGACAGACTTTCTCAAAAATGGTCTCCAGTAAATTTAGATTAGTGTCACTGATGAGGTCCATGTGCTCCATCTCCAGGAAGACTTCAAGTGTAGGCTGAAAAGTGAAGAAAACTTACAGTTACCCTTGATTTTTCCCATAAGGTGATGCAATGCATACTTTAAAGCAGGAGCATAATTCAAATTTAAGTGTCCGTCAGATATAATTATCTTCATCAATGATTTCAAAATCTATTTTTATTCTGATACATTCAACATGTTATGACGTTGCAGGTCTCTCTTCTCAAACACCGACACTCACAACATTTTCTTCCAGTTTTCTGCGGGGAAGCTGTGAGTTCAACAAGAACTTCACATCTTTCAGGTCATCCGTTGTAATCTCCTCAGACAAGTTGTAGAGCAACTTCCTGGCATTACAGAAAAAAAACAATTAAAACAAAGTAAAAACAGTCTTGTCAGAGGAGGCCTGATGCTTCACTGTCACTATTCTGAGGTCACTGGATGTATTTTCCTATGGCAATGCACCACTCTTTCTCCCCTCATACAGATTGTGATCCCTAAACCCAGTGATTACTGATCCTATGTCAATGCCCTTTTTTACTTTTTCAGTCAAAAATGTATACACCTTACTGAGTGCCTCTGATTGGGATCTTTTTCCATTGTATGTGGAGCTAAAACACTACATTGATCCGACTTTAATCAACAACAATTTGGATAATTGTTTAATTGTTAAAGTGATATTTTTAGCAAAACGCCGCCACAAATCTGTGGATTCCAGTTTTTCAAATGTGAATATTTGTCTGTTGTGAAAGAACACTTAGTATCTTTGTGTTTTGGACTGTTGCTTGAACAAAAAAGAATAAATTTGTAGTCACCTTGGAGTGTGGGAAATTGTGATGGGCATTTTTAAAAACATTTTCAGACATTGCATGCACCAAACTATTCAAATCAATTCATCAAGTAAATCATCTGCAAATGAAAATGCAGACGAGTGTTAGGTTGATTTTATGCTGATTTCATGTTGATTTCATGCTGGTTTATTTAGTACATGTTTGTGTTATGAAGCAATAGACTGTACCACTGTGCCCAAGACAAATTACCCCGTGGGGACAATAAACTGCTTTCTATTCTAGTTGCAGCCCTACTTCTTTGTAACATAAGGCTGTAACTACACATCACTTAGTCAATGTAATTAGTATTTCCTTGATTAACCAAACTGTCCCCTCAAATTAGTCCTTCTTGCTAACAATTTAATAATCCGTGCCTTTGAATTAGTAATTGTAGCTCTCAGTTTAACAATTCGCACATACATATTATTTAATCGAGATCACAATTACTAATTCATAAGCTTGAATAAGATTTTTATTTTTTCTTTGACAACTCCCAGACTCCGTCCAGCCCAGGCATACCTGGTCCATTTCATAAGTTCTGACTTGGCTCTAACGCTGATCCGGTGCTGCATGTCAGACAGATGTGACACTATTTAGCAATGTATTTTCTGTGACCTAAATCCTACTTCATGATTTACTTATAAACAGTGAAAGGTAGGTAGACCACCTGTAAGGAGAAATGAGGCTAGATGCTTGGCCAGGAAGCTGGAGCTCATTAACCAGACGGGTGCGTTGGATGATGCGCAGAAGCTCAGTGAGCAGGTGTGGTCGGTCAGCAGAGAGGTGGTCTTGATCCGACAGACGAGAGAAGAGGTCACTGGTCGACTCCACTGAGGTTGGGTTTCGGCCAAGCAGGTCAGTGCAAAGATATGCTAAGGCCTTTACTTCATCCCTACTCAGGGCTTTTCCTACAGTTAATAGCAGCGTCTGGAAATCCATTTTCTTTGCTGAAAACCAGATACAAGATAGATTCACTCAGATGTCTGGTTTCTTTGTGAAATGAATCACAAATAACTTTTGTTTTGCATTTGTAAAGTTTCTTTTTCGCTCTTAACCTATTTGTATAAATGTTACAACAGGGTTGGCACATAGTTATGGTACATTTATGTGTGTGTGTGTGTTTGAACAGTAGCATAATCACAACAGCCTGACTTCCCATCACGTGATTAACACTTAAAGTCACTACCAGACATGGATAATAGAGTTTTATCTCATTTTATCTTATCTTACCCAAGAGCCAAAAACTTTGATTAGATCAGTCTTGTCTGCTCGATTCACCCATTTAACCAGTTCTACCTTAAAGACGTGTTTTGTGGTGTTACCTCTTTGGAGACGAGTTTTCAGCAGGTCGGACTGAACAGATGTGTCATCCACTTCAACATACTCGAAGTAGCTACTCTGTACTATTTTAGACTAGTTTTTCATATATTTAGTGTTTGTATTTTATTTTTTTTATCGCGCCCACGACCTCACAGATCTTCCGAAACTTCTCCTCGGATGAGGAAGTAAAAATCGAAAGTAAAGAGAGAGGACGCGCCCTAAGTAACACCCGCTTGAAACTCCCAGTAGATCATGTGAGACGTCTATACCTGGGCATCATCAGGGATCACAGTGGGGTTGCTCTCGATTTCCTGTGGACATAAAGTCAAAATCTTTATTTGAATCACGACTGAATGTCTGTCACATGCGCCTGTCACTGCAGGCTGAGTTAGGGACCGTCTGCAAATTGCAACACATCCATTTCAATCTTCAATAACTTTTTTGTTTTTCAACATAAAAATCTCACACCACTGCTAATATAACTAGTGACCACCCCCAAACATTTCACACCTGTAAGTTTGTAAACAAACATGAAAATAAATAAATAAATAAAATTCTTAATAATGTACAGTACAAGTGAATAATTTCAATAGCTTGCTCATTTATGAATATTGCCATATTGCCAAAAAGTACATATTTCAGACTTTGGGTCCCTGATATTGGTGTTAAGGGATTCCCTAAGGGCTTTTTGCAGAAACTAACAGGTGTGAAAGTTGTGAAAGGATGTGCAGGACAGATGAGAGGTGATTTGGTGCCAGTATATTCATAAATAAGCAAGCTATTTAAATTATTCACTTGTAATGTGCATAATTAAGAATTGAATTTATTTATTTATTTATTTTCATGTTTGTTTACAAACTTACAGGTGTGAAATGTTTGAGGGTGGTTATTAGTTATATTAGCAGTGGTTTGAGATTTTTATGTTGAAAGATTGAAATGGATGTTTTGCAATTTGCAGACGGTCCCTAACTCCCCCTACAGTGAAAGGCGCATTTGACAGACATTCAGTGCATTGTGCTCTGGACTGCATCGTTATCTTAAGTGATTTTGAGGTGATCACAACTGTGAAACTTCTGCCTGAATTAGCTCTCCAATATATCCCAAAACTGGGAGAAATGGAGATTTTGACACGGAGCTATTGAAGGGAACAGGCGCAAAAACCGACGAATGTTGAATATTAAACTTCACCCCGGTACTTTACTAGGCCTACCCTGACCAGAATAACTGTTACTTAAAATACATTTTAACACTGCAGTCAAATTTGGCAAAGATAAAATGTCCACGTCCTGTGCTGCAGAAGGCATGGACAGCATATCTGGGGTAAAATTCTGATATATTTCAACTTTGGTTCCAAAATAAAAAAAGGTTCAGCTCTCACTGCAATGTATAATAATAGAATTCGGGGGCTGAGTAGAGACAGTTATTGCAGATAAATTTATTTCGGGTAGATTTTGGGGTGAAATTTAACTGCATTTACAGAGAGTCTTATTTTACTGTAGTTTTGTGCTTCCTTGTTTCCCTCCTCTCCTTCTGTGCTTTCTGCAGCTATTTCTGCCTCTGGAGCCATGGGGTCTGGATATGTGGTTGTAAGGCCACTTACTGCCTTCATGTTCCTGCTCAACACCTGCTGCTACTGAGAGTGAATTTGGATAGTCAGGCATAAACAAGGTACAGCCATGATACATCAATTTATTATACTTTAAATGAACAAACAAACAGTTTATTATACTTTAAATCAATAAACAAACAGGTAATCCTGCAATTATTTTGACAAGAATCGTCTACTATCCATATGTCATCACATAAAAACATTACTTTTGATTGGGACAGGTCATAGGATGTGAATAGATTAAATAAACAACAAACTAAATTTAAAAAAATGATAATTTCCTTTTCTTTTGGGCAGTGGTTGTGATATAAAGTGATAATACACTTCAAGAGGTCTTGAAACAGATAATCATGGCGTCAGCTGAGGCCTCCATTATCCTTTACCACCTAAACCACCAATAACGTCAATGATAAGGTCAACAAACTGGCTAGTGAGAGCCACAAATATCCTTTAGGTAGCTGTAAGGATATAATCATAAAATATTCCAGTTTTTCAGTGCTTAAGAACATATTGACAGAAGGTATCAACTTGGAAATATTACAAATTATTAGTGGTAGTGTGTATTTGATTTGGGTTTGGTCTTCAGGGTCTTGATATGTCCTCTGCGTCTCACTCTGACACTGAGCCACGCCTCAGAGTTTGCTCCTGAGCTGTTGAATCTGATGGACTCTGTAAAGGACACACACACACATGCGCACACACACACACACACACACAAACAGGCTGAGCATGGCAAAACATTTATGAGAGAGTCAAGACCTGAGGCAAATCCATGAAGTGGAAGAAATACTCAGATCCTGTACATATAAATAACAATACCACAGTGTAGAAATACTCTGCCTGCTACAAGTAAATGTCCTGCATTCAAATGTTTTACTTAAGTAAAAGTACTGGCATCAAAATACACTTAAAGTACTGTCACAGCTGTCGCTGTCACCTTTGTGTTTCCCCTTTTCTGTCTCACCTCTACCAAGTAGGCTGTGTCCCTGTGGAATGAAGACCCGCCTACTTCCTGGTTTCTGGGGTGCTGACTTCAGTCCCACCTATTGGTTCCCTCTGTTCCCGCTCAACCAATGGCTGGTCACCACATTGATTACCTCCTGCTCATAAGGAGAGTCCACCTGTTGCTTGAGGCAGCTTGTCACCGCCTATTGACTTGTGTGCCGCTGGTACTGACTGTGTACTTTGCTTGTTAGCTCTACATTGTGTGTAGTGGAACAATTCGCATACCTTGTTTGTTAGCTCTACATTGTGTGTAGTGGAGAAATTCATTTAGTATTTTTGTTTAATATTGAGTTAGTTTTCATCAGGTGTAGTGGGTGCTGTGCTCTTTGTGTTCTTTTTGTAGCAAGAATTAACCCTGTTTAAATATATAGATAGGTACAGGCCTCCTTTTGAGGACCGGGTTACCAATAAAAGTTACCTTTTTAAGATCTATACCAGTTTTGCCTATATATTTATGGCCCCCACTCCCCCAGACCAACAGGGGGTCATAACAGTACCAAAAGTAAAAGTACTCTTTATGCAGATTATTTCAGAATAATGTAGGGTAACATGGGGTAAGACACCCCCCCATGGTAATTCTAAAAAGACCCCACAAAATGTCAAAATTTTTTCCCTTCACCATTTCTTCTGGCTGTCCCCAGTCTCACTCAACTAAAAATTGAAGTTAAGTTATTTGATCAAAGTAATTCTGACTGAAGTTGAAATAAGTGTTCAATTTATGTATATTTACATTAAGATAAGTTATGCAATTATTTAGAGAGAAAGATTTTTATAGTTTTTGGTTAAAGTAGTAAAATGCTAGATTAGTATGTTTGGGGTAAGATGCCCCATCGGTCACCGTGCCCCTTGATCATTTGAAAGTTAGATGTTATTTAGACAGTGGAGAGCCCATTTAGCCAACTAACAACTTCACAGAAAATCTCAGGTAAAATTCTGAGGTTATAAGCTCACATATGCTCACATTTCCAGCTAGCTAGCTGGCATGCACATGTTTTACCTCAGACTTTCTGCTAATGAAGTTCATAGCAACCTCACTATTTAAAAGTCTGAGAAATAAACAAAAGGAAAGCTAATAACATAAGGCAACATAAGTTTACATCTACAACATAGGTCTACATTCCCCTTGCTTTTAACCAGCTAGCTGTAGTTCATTTTATCTGTAATTTGCACCTATTAAAGTGATTTCACACCATAGAGTTGCTATCTTACCCCATGTGGAAAATGCCTTTTTCCTATAAAATACATTTGATTAAATAGAAATTAATTTGTCAACTGTAGCTATTTATTTTGCTTTATAATATATATATATATGTTGCAGCTGGAAAAGGTGGAGCTTAATTCGACTACTTCATATACTTTATCTGCTGGGTGGCTTGTGAATTTCTCCCAGGGATCACTTAGGTTTTATGTTAATCTATAATATTACACCACCATTTATATGTATTATTCATTGGATTCTGTAAAGCAATGAGTAACCAAAGATATCAAAAATGAGTTTGAGTGAACAGGGTGGAGTATATGGAACATAATAATAATGTGGGAGCAGAAAAGATGTCACTTAAAATGTTGTCATGACTTAAAGTTATTACTGACTTGAGTACTTTGTGCAAAAGTATACATATGTCACAAAACATATATTTTTGTTTGCACACGTTTCACAGGTCTGATTCAATTGCAGCACAAATTCACATGCTTACTTTTAAGTGCAGAAATCAGGAGTTTGATTTTATATTTTTTGATATGCAGAATGTGTGTGAATATTCAGTGTATTAATTTTATTATTTGTGATGTTAAGGATAGGATAGGACATATGTTAAAGATAACTTGCTGTCTCCAAAATTAAACAGAAAATCCAGTTGCCTTTTGACTTCTGGACATTGAAAATGGAGATTTTGCAACTAAATATTACTCAAACAAACTTTCACAAAATTCAGAAAAACCTTAATAGCTGATGTTGTTGTCTAGTGTCAAACCCTGTATTAAAAGTGGGAGTAACAGCAGGTTCATAGTGTTTTGAATTTAAGTATTGGAGTAGCCCTTTTTCTAACATTTGAATAACAAAATAAAACATTTAAATTTCAAGTATAATTTCAATACACACTGCAAAATACATTATTCAAAAATCACTTTAAAGATGAGTGTTGCTAGAACTACTCCAAACTAATCAGACATGTCTTCTGTACAAGTAAGTGTACAAATGATTTCCTAAAAGTTAAGATGCAATACCAAAAGTATGATCATAAAGAAGCGAAAGTCCTCATTATACAGCAGAATGGCTCCTGTTAGTGTTTTTAGTATATGATTAGAATATTATTACGAATTCATTAACATGTAAGCAGCATTTTAAAGTTGTGCCTGCTACTTTATATACTGTTGAGTAGTTTAATCTATATTAATGCACAAGTTCATAAGTTTTTTAAGTGGTGCTAATTAGCAGAGTTTCAAGCGCGTCATCGCCAGCATTTCCATAAATACCCACACGTCCTAAGTCCTCCCATTCGCCCTCGTATCCTGCATCCCTCCCTCCCACCCCTTTCTCTGTCCTGCCTCCTGATCCATAGGTTTATAGTGGGTCCGTCGTGCCCGGGTGCTACGGCGGATTTCCCTATCGTAGCTTCCCCACAACGCTTTCTAATGTCTATTCAGCTACTGCAAGCTTCATACATCTTCTGTTTGTTACTCAATAAATCATTTAATCATACCCGTTGATTGTGGTCCTTGCTAGTGAATGTTAAAATAACAATAGGTGAGGAACAATGTATAAAGTGGCATGTAATGGGAATAGTCTACATGAGTAAAACGGACACCTACTTGATACTCAGTAGCCTATTTAGTTAGTTTTAAGTGATATGATGACCAAAACATGACAATAATGATAAACAAAATGAGACAGGACTGATCTATGGGCCGTGTGTGTGTGTGTGTGTGTGTGTGTGTGTGTGTGTGTGTGTGTGTGAGGTTGGACTCTTACTGTCAGTAATGAGGGAGTGTACGGCGGTGATGTGTCTCCGCCCAAGGCCGTGACTCCTGGACAGCACGCAGTCCAGATAGATGTCCCAGAAGACCCGAGCCAGGTCCCAGAACAGCGTCGTGTGTTTGCCGTTTTCTGACGACCTGAGGAACACCATCAGGTCCCAGAAGGCGGGCACCGTGTCAGCGATCCTCGGGGAGCGCATCTCCAGCAGCAGAGCCGAGGAGGAGTCCCAGCACTGCGGGTTCGCCCGGTGGGCCGTCAGGGGGTCCCCGTGACCCGGCTTCTGGCCCTGCGGCGGCACGGCACACATGCAGCTCAGCACAAACACCGTGGCCACAGGTATGTTCAGGTGCACTGGGACCATCTGAGGACACAACACAGGTCAGCTGTATCCACTATTGATTTATCAGTAAGGTTGAGCAACAAAATTGATTAAGCCTCATTACTAATTTAGCAATTTTAGTAGCTCAGTAATCCCCTTAAAACTCATAAAACACACACATTTCTCTCAGAACAAATGTTTTCCCCCCCACTATTGTGGGTGCTATTATAAACTTCAAAATAAAATTTCAGAAGAATAGGTCCTACATCTGCAAACATATAGCCTAACACTGGCTTATATGTTTGACTCTGTATTATAAGGTCTAAAATGGTTAATTACCCTATAGTGGCTAATAGCCTAATAACAATGTTAATAATCATTTGTTCTGCAAATCCAAATATGCAGATTAGGCCTGTAATTAACCAGAAACACGGAATATATTGATCAAATATGAATAATATTATAAATGTAGCCTAAATAAAGAGCAGTTTAAGAATTTTGCAATGAAAAATGTACTTACCACTAAAGCTGGGCCGACTAAAAGACTATAGTGTTGATTGGAGTTTTGAAAAGATGTGTTGTCTCTTAATTGACGTCAGTGTCTCCCTCCTCTGCGAGCTGCGTTGGCCTACTGCTTGTCGCGTTTATTGATGTGTTGTTGTGGTTTATATAGCCTACAGCCTTATTTGTAGCCTAAGTTGCTCTTGAGACTATTAATCGCGTTAATGGAATCAAATAGTCTATGTCATTTACCATCCCAGATCTTCTTCTTTCCAATGTTGCGTTACTGTGCATTGTGCGAGACGTTTAATCCGTGCAGGAGCAAGATGCTAGACTAGATTGCCCCTTGAAAGGATAGGAATGATTGTTTTTCAAATGAGAGATTATTGTTTAGTGATGTGTTAATAGGAAGGACGTATCTGAGGTTTGTTCTGTACACACTGATCAACCTATAGTCACCAGGAGGAACTCCACTGACTCTTCCAACTGGTAAATGATGTAAAGTATCTCCTGCGGGAGCTTCCTTGCTATGATACTATCCAAAAATTAAGAAAATATGATTAAATGGATTTCTCAGGGCTGCCTTGTACAGATTAGGATCCTGCACAGCAAGATAAACTGTATTTTACCTTTATGAAGGACAGACTCAGGGCTGCAACTGATTATTTTCATTATTAATTTTCCTTATTAATGTGCTGATTATTTTCTCAATTAATCTATTATTTATTTGTTGTATAAAACATCAGAAAATAGTGATAAATGTCACAATGTCACAATTCCCTGGAGCCAAAATTGTCCAAATAACAATCAAAAACCCAAAGATAGTCAATATATCATAATGTAAGACAAGGAAAAGTAGAGCCCTGGCATTTGATTAGTTGGAGCATTAACACATTTGGCATTTGTACTTGAAAAATGTCTTCTGCAATAATTTATTAAATTAAATTTATTAAGAAAGTTATGGATTAATTATCCATTGGTTGACTTATTGATTCATTGACTAATCAGTCCAGCTCTACATGCCCATATGTGCACCAAACATGTGGAATTGTTGCTGTAATCATTCTCCCTCTCCATACTGGCTGTGTAGAGGTCTATTCTTAGTGCGACTGCACTGAAATGGGGCACAAAATCCACAGTCTTCTTTCTGTGTGAATTTTCAACTGAAGATGGTAAAAAAGGCTTCTGCAGTTTTGATTCCTTTGCATTACGGAAATTAAATTGTTTGTGGCTCAAATATATACAAAAAGTCATTTTTGTAACGGTACCCTCAAGTGACAGAATCTTCATTCAGAGCTTTAGGGGCAAAAAGGCATATTGTGCTTATGTGTTTACATGAGCAATCTGACATCAGAAACTTGGGTGGTGCTGCTTTCTGTAAAAACAAGCTCAGTCGTGAACGGTGTTCCAGAGAGTGGTGCACGAGTTACATTCTATGCTTTTACTGAAATGTCACATGCATACCTGATCTCAAATATAATTACCTGCGCAGTGAGAGGCCAACACTAAATGTACTGGGTGTGTTTGTTACTCAGGCATTCATTCTTCTGATGACGCAAAGAAGCAGACTTTTTTATGACAATTTTCGCTGCAAGGCCTAAATTATAACCTTTAAATGAATACCATTTTCATATTAATACTGATGTAAAGTTAGGATGCTTCAGGACAGGAAAAACGTCTGGAAGGTACAAATTATTATTATTAAATGAGAATTATTGTTTAATGTGCTATGAAGGAGGAACATTTCGAAGACAGGTCCACAGAGATCTTTTTCTCCATACACTTATCATCCTGGTCATATACAGATAAGTGATTCCCAACCAAGGGTATCTTAACCTGAGGGGGGTACATCTGCAGTTGCCAGGGGGTACATAGAGAGATTGTGGAGATCAGTTAACTTGATAAAATCTAAATAATAATTTAATTCATGTGCATATGAAAAGAATTAACTTCTTTTGCAATTATTTCCCATATAAACATTCTTCAGTACATTTTAAAGTTTATTTAATAGTTTGACAAGATAACTTCAGATAAATTAAAAGTTAATCAGTTGCTGTCTTAGATTGGCATGAAAAAACACAGAAACGCTCTGATAAAATTTGTCAGTAGTTTATTCATCGGTCCAACTGTACATGATGCAGTGAGAGAGGGACACCAGACAATGAGTAACATGGAGGATTACAACGATGCCAGTGCTATGGCAGCACCTGGAACACACCAACTATCAGCTGGACTGGAAATAAAAAGCCCTGCACAAGGAAACTGTTCAGGCCTCAATATGCACAGGCACCATACAGTGTGTTTGTGTACGTGTGTGTGTGTGTGTGTGTGCATGTGTGTGATTAAAAATATCAGATCAGATGAAAAACACACAAAAATGATTTTCAGTTCCATAAATGTAAAAGGGTGCTCTCTCGCTTTTTCATTGGAAATATTAATTCAGTTCATCTTTATTATTATTTGTCCATTCATAGTTTGAGCATGTTGAAGCGAAGTGAAACGAGATGTGGGAGTGGCCAAATACAAAAATTAGCTGATTAGCAGAGGTTTTTGTAATTCCATGTCTACATTGATATCATTATTACCCATACTTTTGTGCAATATCTCTCTTTGCATAGTAAATAAAAGTTAAATGTTTCTGTTGTTGACATGCACCTATCTTTTGTAGCATATTTTTCTTGCAGATTTTGGGGACTCCCATATAGAATTATAAGCCCAGTATAGTGATTGCATGCAGCGTTTCCAGTAGAGCTGAACTTGATTTCTACTAAGAGTTTATGAGAGCAAAAGGTTAAGCCAGTATAGTGGGTGTTGATGAGGACTGTTACGTGAGACCTGGCTGGACAGCTGCATGGACCGACTTCATGCCCTCAGCAGTAGGAGAGGCATCACTGGCTGCAGACAGAGGGGAAAGTGCTCTGTGTACAACAACATCCATTATGTTGATATGATTGGTTCTTTGGCTTTTGAGTCACTGTTGAAGATACTTTGGGGGAGGAAGGGGAAGGGGAGTCTTGTGACGTTAATCTGACGTGATATTAATCTGAATCCCTCTAGAACTGACATGCTTCTCCTTGTCACCACAGCCGCTCTGTCCGCTTTCGTGGAACTTTTGACCTCCACCCTGGACAACTACAGGAAGCTGTACAGCGTGCTATTACAATTTTGGCCCAAATCACTATTGCAGTTTTTTTCAATAACATTGCCAAAAAACACCCGCTATACAACATGCTAAGATAAAAAAACAAAAGCAATTGATGTCTTTGTAAAATATGCTGTTAATTCCAAACCTGAACTCCTTATTTATGTACAAGTTTGTGCATGTGCATTCACTGCGTGGTCTGCACTGCCCTTATGGGTCCACACATGCAGCCTCCTTTATCATCTACAGCACCTTAACATGAGCTATAGGCGCTTTAACTGCCTTTCCACTGGCTTTAGTTTTGAAGGAGGCTGCCTCCTGCATTAGATTATTCTGTTTTTTTTCTCTTTGTATGTTTTTTGCGGTATATTCATAGCTTTCGTAGCCATGCAGAGCCCTGCACAGAGGGCTCTTCATGCCAGGGGGCCAGCAAGCAGCACGCTTTGTGCGGATAAACATGCCAGGTGAGAGAGTGGTGTGGATTCCGCCTGAACGCCTGTGCACTGGCACTAAAGGATGGAAGAGGAGCTCTGTCACTCTAGAGATCAAGGTGGGTTTGTTACATGGGTGAGGTGGAGTTGAAAAGGCTGCATGTCTAATGTCACTACGATGGAATTTGTTAAAATGTCCACTATGTCTTTTTCAAGTAAATCTAATGCCAAAGATCAGCAGCAATAAGTGCAGTCCAGCTGTCAGTTAGCCAACTAAGGAAGCCTTGGAGGAGTCCATCTGTGATTGCCACCTCTCCTTGGGTTAAATGGCTGAGGCATTGGGGTCGTATCGCCGTTTCTTCACATTTCTTATGAGGAGACAAGAAACAGGAGTCAGTGTGTGCTATAATCAAGTCTGTAACACAGCTAGTGCAACCTGGACAAGTAACCACTCTCATCTCTTCAGTTTACAATAGTAAACTTATTCTTAATCTATTGTTATACTCAAGAGCGGAAAATAAAAATGTTTTTCATGTCAACCCGTGCAGTTTTTAAAGGGCCTCAAGATCAAAATGCTTACGACATTAAAGTGAGGAAAGGTTGGTCCATGTTGGCCGGTTCAGCCTTGACTGCAAAGAAGCAGTCAGATGTATTTATATTCACAAACCTTTACTTGCCTGTTCATGATAAACAATAAAGTCTACTTTCAAATAAGATAATAACTGAGCTTTGAAGGTCTATGAATATAAATATCCTGTTGCCTTCTTGCAGACGAATGCTGACCAGCTTGTGCATGCAACATCAGTTCACAAGGTGAAGAAGTGTAGGAGACATGTCTCATTACCAGTTTTGATGAGAAAGACATTAGTTTCACTCATAACATAACCATCTGGGAGGAAAAATCTAACGTAAAATGTACTCTATAGAGGAGGGAAAGAGGAGACAACCACATAAACGACAACCACAGC